TGTGATTGTGGTTGAGTATGATTGTAGTTAAGTATGATTGTAGTTGAGTATGATTGTAAGCGAGAATGACATTACTTTAGTGTAGATTGAGCAAGGCTGTTGCTGAGTACGATTACAGCCGTGTTGTACTGGAGTTGAGTATGGTTGTGGTATGACTGTAGTATGACTGCAGTTTGAGCACAGTAGGACTGTAGTTCAGTATGGTTATACATAGTATTACTGTAGTATCACTGTAGTTTAGTATGGCTGTACATAGTATTATTGTAGTATTACTGTAGTTTAGTATGGCTGTACATAGTATTACTGTAGTTTAGTATGGCTGTACATAGTATTACTGTAGTATCACTGTGGTGGAGTATGGCTGTACATAGTATTACTGTAGTGTGACTGTAGTTTAGTATGGCTGTACATAGTAATACTGTAGTATTACTGTAGTTCAGTATGGCTGTACATAGTATTACTGTAGTATCGCTCTAGTGGAGTATGGCTGTACATAGTATTACTGTATGACTGTAGTGAAGTATGACTGTACATAATATTACTGTAGTATGGCTATACATAGTATTACTGTAGTATTACTGTAGTTTAGTATGGCTGTACATAGTATTACTGTAGTGTGACTGTAGTGGAGTATGGCTGTACATAGTATTACTGTAGTATGACTGTAGTTTATTATGGCTGTACATAGTATTACTGTAGTATGACTGTAGTTTAGTATGGCTGTACATAGTATCACTGTAGTATTACTGTAGTTTAGTATGACTGTACATAGTATTACTGTAGTATGACTGTAGTTTAGTATAGCTGTACATAGTATTACTGTAGTGTGACTGTAGTGGAGTATGGCTGTACATAGTACTGTAGTGTGACTGTAGTGGAGTATGGCTGTACATAGTATTACTGTAGTATGACTGTAGTTTAGTATGACTGTACATAGTATTACTGTAGCATGACTGTAGTTTAGTATGGCTGTCATAGTATTACTGTAGTATTACTGTAGTTTACTATGGCTGTACATAGTATCACTGTAGTATGACTAGTTTAGTATGGCTGTACATAGTATCACTGTAGTATGACTGTAGTTTAGTATGGCTGTACATAGTATTACTGTAGCATGACTGTAGTTTAGTATGGCTGTCATAGTATTACTGTAGTATTACTGTAGTTTAGTATGGCTGTACATAGTATCACTGTAGTATGACTGTAGTGTAGTATGGCTGTACATAGTTTCACTGTAGTATGACTGTAGTTTAGTATGGCTGTACATAATATTACTGTAGGATTACTGTAGTTTAGTATGGCTGTACATAGTATCACTGTAGTATTACTGTAGTTTAGTATGGCTGTACATAGTATTACTGTAGTATTACTGTAGTTTAGTATGGCTGTACATAGTATTACTGTATTACTGTAGTTTAGTATGGCTGTACATAGTATTACTGTAGTATGACTGTAGTTTAGTATGGCTGTACATAGTATCACTTAGTATTACTGTAGTTTAGTATGGCTGTACATAGTATTACTGTAGTATTACTGTAGTTTAGTATGGCTGTACATAGTATTACTGTAGCATGACTGTAGTTTAGTATGGCTGTCATAGTATTACTGTAGTATTACTGTAGTTTAGTATGGCTGTACATAGTATTACTGTAGTATGACTGTAGTTTAGTATGGCTGTACATAGTATCACTGTAGTATGACTGTAGTTTAGTATGGCTGTACATAGTATTACTGTAGGATTACTGTAGTTTAGTATGGCTGTACATAGTATCACTGTAGTATTACTGTAGTTTAGTATGGCTGTACATAGTATTACTGTAGTATTACTGTAGTTTAGTATGGCTGTACATAGTATTACTGTAGTATTACTGTAGTTTAGTATGGCTGGTATTACTGTAGTATGACTGTAGTTTAGAATGGCTGTACATAGTATCACTTAGTATTACTGTAGTTTAGTATGGCTGTACATAGTATTACTGTAGTATTGCTGTAGTTTAGTATGGCTGTACATAGTATTACTGTAGTATGACTGTAGTTTAGTATGGCTGTACATAGTATTACTGTAGTATTACTGTAGTTGAGTATGGCTATACATAGTATTACTGTAGTTGACTGTAGTGGAGTATGGCTGTACATAGTATTACTGTAGTATGATGGTAGTTTAGTATGGCTGTACATAGTATTACTGTAGTATTACTGTAGTTTAGTATGGCTGTACATAGTATTACTGTAGTATTACTGTAGTATCACTGTAGTGGAGTATGGGTGTACATAGTATTACTGTAGTATGACTGTAGTTTAGTATGGCTGTACATAGTAGTATGACTGTAGTTTAGTATGGCTGTACATAGTATTACTGTAGTATGACTGTATTTTAGTATGGCTGTACATAGTATTACTGTAGTATGACTGTAGTGGAGTATGGCTGTACATAGTATTACTGTAGTATGACTGTAGTTTAGTATGGCTGTACATAGTATCACTGTAGTATTACTGTATTTTAGTATGGCTGTACATAGTATTCCTGTCGTATGACTGTAGTGGAGTATGGCTGTACATAGTATCACTGTAGTATGACTGTAGTTTAGTATGGCTGTACATAGTATTACTGTAGTATTACTGTAGTTTAGTATGGCTGTACATAGTATCACTGTAGTATGACTGTAGTTTAGTATGGCTGTACATAGTATTACTGTAGTATGGTGATGGTAGTGGTTATGGTGATGGTAGTGGTGGTGACGGTGATGGTAGTGGTGGTGATGGTCGTGGTAGTGGTGGTGATGGCAGTGGTGGTGGTGGTAGTGATGGTAATGGTGGTAGTGATGGTAGTGGTGGTAGTGATGGTAGTGGTGGTGGTAGTGATGGTAGTGATGGTAGTGGTGGTAGTGGTGGTGGTAGTGATGGTAGTGATGGTAGTGGTGGTAGTGAGGTAGTGGTGGTGGTGATGGTGGTAGTGGTGGTAATGATGGTAGTGGTGGTAGTGATGGTAGTGGTGGTAGTGATGGTAGTGGTGGTGGTGATGGCGGTAGTGTTGGTAGTGTTGGTGATGGTAGTGATAGTGATGGTAGTGGTGGTAGTGATGGTAGTGGTGGTGATGGTAGTGATAGTGGTGGTAGTGGTGGTAGTGATGGTAGTGGTGGTGATGGTAGTGGTAGTGGTGGTGATGTTAGTGATGGAGGTAGTGATGGTAGTGGTGGTAGTGGTGGTAGTGATGGTAGTGATGGTAGTGGTGGTAGTGATGGTAGTGGTGGTGATGGTAGTGGTGGTGGTGGTGATGGTAGTGGTGGTAGTGATGGTAGTGGTGGTGGTGATGGTGGTAGTGGTGGTAGTGATGGTAGTGGTGGTGGTAGTGATGGTAGTGGTGGTAGTGGTGGTAGTGATGGTGGTGGTGGTGGTAGTGATGGTAGTGGTGGTGGTGGTAGTGATGGTGGTGGTGATGGTGGTAGTGGTGGTAGTGATGGTAGTGGTGGTGGTGGTGATGGTGGTAGTGGTGGTAGTGATGGTAGTGGTGGTGGTGATGGTAGTGGTGGTAGTGGTGATGGTGGTAGTGATGGTAGTGATGGTAGTGGTGGTGGTGATGGTGGTAGTGGTGGTAGTGGTGGTGATGGTGGTGATGGTAGTGATGGTAGTGGTGGTGATGGTAGTGGTGGTGATGGTAGTGGTGGTGGTGATGGTAGTGATGGTAGTGGTGGTGGTGATGGTGGTAGTGGTGGTAGTGGTGGTGGTAGTGATGGTAGTGGTGGTGGTGATAGTGGTAGTGGTGGTGATGGTAGTGGTGGTGATGGTAGTGGTGGTGGTGATGGTGGTAGTGGTGGTGATGGTAGTGGTGGCAGAGATGGTAGTGGTGGTAGTGGTGGTAGTGATGGTAGTGGTGGTGATGGTAGTGGTGGTAGTGGTGATGGTAGTGGGTAGTGATGGTAGTGATGGTAGTGGTGGTGGTGGTAGTGGTGGTAGTGGTGATGGTAGTGGCAGTGATGGTAGTGATGGTGGTGGTGATGGTAGTGATGGTAGTGGCAGTGATGGTAGTGATGGTAGTGGTGGTGATGGTAGTGATGGTAGTGGTAGTGATGGTAGTGGTGGTGATGGTAGTGATGGTAGTGGTGGCAGTGATGGTAGTGGTAGTGATGGTAGTGGTGGTGGTGATGGTAGTGGTGATGGTAGTGATGGTAGTAGTGATGGTAGTGGTGATGGTAGTGATGGTAGTGGTGGTGGTAGTGATGGTAGTAGTGATGGTAGTGGTGATGGTAGTGATGGTAGTGGTGGTGGTGATGGTAGTGGTGGTGGTGGTAGTGATGGTAGTGGTGGCAGTGATGGTAGTGATGGTAGTGGTGGTGGTAGTGGTAGTGGTGATGGTAGTAGTGATGGTAGTGGTGATGGTAGTGATGGTAGTGATGGTAGTGGTGGTGATGGTAGTGATGGTAGTGGTAGTGATGGTAGTGGTGGTGATGGTAGTGATGGTAGTGGTGGCAGTGATGGTAGTGGTAGTGATGGTAGTGGTGGTGGTGATGGTAGTGGTGATGGTAGTGATGGTAGTAGTGATGGTAGTGGTGATGGTAGTGATGGTAGTGGTGGTGGTAGTGATGGTAGTAGTGATGGTAGTGGTGATGGTAGTGATGGTAGTGGTGGTGGTGATGGTAGTGGTGGTGGTGGTAGTGATGGTAGTGGTGGCAGTGATGGTAGTGATGGTAGTGGTGGTGGTAGTGGTAGTGGTGATGGTAGTAGTGATGGTAGTGGTGATGGTAGTGGTGGTAGTGGTGGTGGTAGTGATGGTAGTAGTGATGGTAGTGGTGATGGTAGTGATGGTAGTGGTGGTGGTGATGGTAGTGGTGGTGGTGGTAGTGATGGTAGTGGTGGCAGTGATGGTAGTGATGGTAGTGGTGGTGGTAGTGGTAGTGGTGATGGTAGTAGTGATGGTAGTGGTGATGGTAGTGATGGTAGTGGTGGTGGTGGCAGCTGTGCGTGCGAGTTGAGAGTCCCGACCCACGTGGCTGCCCTCTCACCTGCCCGGGCTGTCCCACGCTGCCCAACGCAGACGAACAGCAGCAGCAGCAGGGGCAGCAGCATCAGCTGGGGCAGCAGCATCAGTCGCGGCGAGCTAGCAGACATCGTCCCAGCAGGCAGGGGAGCCTCTCCCACACAGTCTCTCCCCAGCGGGCTGCGTCCGTCCGACCCCTCGACTAAAAACAAAACACCGTCTCACTACTCCAACAACGACAACCACAACCACCACCACCACCAACAACAACACGCGACACACAACACGCTGTGAGATGCTAACAAGTGTGTGTGTGTGGGGGGAGGACAGCGAGCCACTTGTATGGGAACACGAGAGCGGGCGCTGGGTTAACGTTACCTTCAATAAATTAGGGTCGATCGGTAAAAGCGCTCGACTTGCACCTGATGATGATGTTGGTGGTGGTGGTGGTGGCGGTGATCCTCGTTGCGTCGTTTTCTCTCGTGTAAGATTATTGAAGAGTTAAATTGTTTTTTTAATAAGGGAGTATTGTTGTTGTTGCTGCTGCTGTTGTTTAAAGAGACACGGACTGCGTGCGACAGGTAATGAGGACTGCGGGGTGGGTGGGGGTGGGCAGCCTTGACAGGTGCCGTCTGGGGGCGCGGTACGGTAACGCGCACGGTGGCCGTAATGACGCGAGGCGCTGCGCACTACACAAAGATCCACCCACCAAACACCCCCCACCCAACACCTCCCCCCACCCACCACCCCTCCCCCCACCAAACACCCCTCCCCCCACCCAACACCCCTCCCCCCACCAAACACCCCTCCCCCCACCAAACACCCCTCCCCACCCCCCCACATCCCCCACCAAACACCCCTCCCCCCACCCACCACCCCTCCCCCCACCAAACACCCCTCCCCCCACCAAACACCCCTCCCCCCACCCAACACCCCTCCCCCCACCCAACACCCCACCCACCACCCCTCCCCCCACCCACCACCCCTCCCCCCACCCACCACCCCTCCCCCCACCAAACACCCCACCCACCACCCCTCCCCCCACCAAACACCCCTCCCCCCCATCAAACACCCCTCCCCCCACTAAACACCCCTCCCCCCACCAATCACCCCTCCCCCCACCCAACACCCCTCCCACCACCCACCACCCCTCCCCCCACCAAACACCCCTCCCCCCACCAAACACCTCCCCCCACCCACTACCCCTCCCCCCACCAAACACCCCTCCCCCCACCCAACACCCCTCCCCCCACCAAACACCCCTCCCCACCCCCCCACATCCCCCACCAAACACCCCTCCCCCCACCCACCACCCCTCCCCCCACCAAACACCCCTCCCCCCACCAAACACCCCCGCCCCACCCAACACCCCTCCCCCCACCCAACACCCTTCCCCCCACCCACCACCCCTCCCCCCACCCACCACCCCTCCCCCCACCCAACACCCCTCCCCCCACCCACCACCCCTCCCCCCACCCAACACCCCTCCCCCCACCCACCACCCCTCCCCCCACTAAACACCCCTCCCCCCACCAAACACCCCCCACCAAACACCCCTCCCCCCACCCAACACCCCTCCCACCACCCACCATCCCTCCCCCCACCAAACACCCCTCCCCCCACCAAACACCCCTCCCCCCACCCACCACCCCTCCCCCCACCCAACATCCCTCCCCCCACCCAACACCTCCCCCCACCCACCACCCCTCCCCCCACCAAACACCCCTCCCCCCACCCAACACCCCTCCCCCCACCCAACACCCCTCCCCCCACCAAACACCCCTCCCCCCACCAAACACCCCTCCCCCCACCCACCACCCCTCCCCCACCCAACAGCCCTCCCCACCCCTCCACATCCCCCACCCCCTCTCCCCCCACCCCACAAAAGACAAAGATCCCCCGTGTAGCCTTAACAGACTATTGGGGCAAGTGCTGTCAGCGAGCAGCAGCTTTGAAGACCTGAAACGGCTCACGAGGGCGTGGGTGGCCCACCCGCACGCGCGCGCCATGCGTTGTATTTCACAAGCCAGGTGAGAGGGCCCATTGAGATGAGAGGTCGCTTATTGTAATTTGCAACACAATTAGTGGCAATAATGATTAGCCTTTTTTATGTTCGGTGATTGCTGCTGCGTTGGCAGCTGTGGTGAGCAAGCACAAATAATAGCAACAACAGCACAAAACAACAAATTTGTCTATAAAACTGCCGAAAAAACAAGCGCGCTATTGTCGAATGTGGCCACTTATTTTTAGTCGTTTATTAAGTCCAGGCGAGAGCTCACTGATAAATATCTCATTTTAAAAGAGATGGCACTTACTTTGACGAGGCGACAGGTCTCATAGTGTTACCACCATCATTCATGATTTTAAATGTAGTAAATACAAGAGCTCGATGAAAAATGTCGACCTTCACGCATGACCGCCTGCGATCAATTCACAAGGAATGCGCCTCATTTCGTTCGATCTTGGAAGCTAAGCAACGTTGAGCTTCAGATAGTGGCTTGTATTGACGACCACATGATCGGCATATAAAACACAATATAATTATAAGCATCGTTTTGAAGAATATGAGTATGTTTAACACTTCCCATCAACCACAAAGGCCTTCTGGGAGTGGAGAAATCTCAGCATGGCTGGTTCAATGCAATCAAACCCTAGGACCATTTTTTGACATACGTGACGAAAGCAATCAAGACGTTGCTTGCATTGAGACAATTCTGCTGAGCTTGTGTACATGCATAACAAAAGAATATCTCAACACGTTCGTCAATAACACAGGGGCTTTCAAAAGTATGTAATAAGCAACGATTTGGGCAATGGCCCTTCTTCCCAGCACATACAGAGGATAGAGACGTAGTGGGAATAAGAGTTGGGACAGAATGTTATATACCATAGGGTATGATTAATAATTAAATACAAAGTTTCATGACGGACAGTGTTTACTCAGGTTGCCAACTCTGACTGAAGCTAGTGCAGGATCTATATATTGTTTAATGCATATGCAGTGAGGGAAAAAAAGTATTTGATCCCCTGCTGATTTTGTACGTTTGCCCACTGACAAAGAAATTATCAGTCTATAATTTTAATGGTAGGTTTATTTGAACAGTGAGAGACAGGATAAAAACGCATGTCAAAATTTTTATACATTGATTTGCATTTTAATGAGGGAAATAAGTATGTGACCCCTCTGCAAAACATGACTTAGTACTTGGTGGCAAAACCCTTGTTGGCAATCACAGAGGTCAGACGTTTCTTGTAGTTGGCCACCAGGTTGGCACACAGCTCAGGAGGGATTTTGTCCTACTCTTTGCAGATCTTCTCCAAGTCATTAAAGTTTCGAGGCTGACGTTTGGCAACTCGAACCTTCAGCTCCCTCCACAGATTTTCTATGTGATTAACGTTTGGAGACTGGCTAGGCCACTCCAGGACCTTAACGTGCTTCTTCTTGAGCCACTCCTTTGTTGCCTTGGCCGTGTGTTTTGGGTCATTGTCATGCTGGAATACTCATTCACGACCCATTTTCAATGCCCTGGCTGAGGGAAGGAGGTTCTCACCCAAGATTTGACGGTGCATGGCCCCGTCCATCGTCCCTTTGATGCGGTGAAGTTGTCCTGTCCCCTTAGCAGAAAACACCCCCAAAGCATAATGTTTCCACCTCCATGTTTGACGGGTGGATGGAGTTCTTGGGATCATAGGCAGCATTTCTCCTCCTCCAAACACGGCGAGTTGAGTTGATGCCAAAGAGCTCCATTTTGATCTCATCTGACTACAACACTTTCACCCAGTTGTCCTCTGAATCATTCAGATGTTCATTGGCAAACTTCAGACGGGCATGAATATGTGTTTTCTTGAGCAGGGGGACCTTGCGGGCGCTGCAAGATTTCAGTCCTTCACGGCGTAGTGTGTTACCAATTGTTTTCTTGGTGACTAGGATCCCAGCTGCCTTGAGATCATTGACAAGATCCTCCCGTGTAGTTCTGGGTTGATTCCTCACCGTTCTCATGATCATTGCAACGCCACGAGGTGAGATCTTGCATGGAGCCCCAGGCCGAGGGAGATTGACAGTTCTTTCGTCTTCCATTTGCGAATAATCGCACCAACTGTTGTCACCTTCTCACCAAGCTGCTTGGCAATGGTCTTGTAGCCCATTCCAGCCATGTGTAGGTCTACAATCTTGTCTCTGACATCCTTGGAGAGCTCGTTGGTCTTGGCCATGGTGGAGAGTTTGGAATCTGATTGATTGCTTCTGTGGACAGGTGTCTTTTATACAGGTAACAAGCTGAGATTAGGAGCACTCCTTTTAAGAGCGTGCTCCTAATCTCAGCTCGTTACCTGTATAAAAGACACCTGGGAGCCAGAAATCTTTCTGAATGAGAGGGCTTCAAATGCTTATTTCCCTCATTAAAATGCAAATCAATGCTTTTTCTGGATTTTTTTTGTTATTCTGTCTCTCACTGTTCAAATAAACCTACCATTAAAATTATGGACTGATCATTTCTTTGTCAGTGGGCAAGCGTACAAAATCAGCAGGGGATCAAATACTTTTTCCCCTCACTGTATGTTCCTAAACTATCCAATTACAATCCTCTGGATTGCTTTTAATAGTCACTGGGAGACCGATGCCAATAACTGTAGAGACTCCCAGCCACTCTGGGATGGTTGGCAACCATTATTTTTACATTTATAGTATATAACAGGTTGTGTTATAGTTTGCTTTGGGGCTCCATTGTGGGCCACAGAGAGTAAGTGCAGCAATAGCCATTTACTTTATTTGTATGCTCCCACTTTACCTGTATGGTCAAATGACCCCCATGACCTGCACCTGTGTGAGGTCTTCATCCAGCAGTGGGTTTGACAAAAAGCCAAGCGAATGTCCACGTATGACCAGGTGAGAGCCCATTGAGAAGACGTGTCTATTATCGTAACTCATCATTATTTAAATTATTTGCATTGAGATCATTTAGATTATTTCGCTTCTATACATTTCCACACGATAAGTCACTTTGTTGACCTATCATTTGTGGCCAGGACGCTTCTGTAAAATACGTGAATACTTCAGTGGGCTTTACCTGTTAATTTTTTTCTATTTCTATATTTTTCAGTGATTTGTTTACCTTTCCTGTAGTTTGCACTCCTATCATGTTTTTGTATTGTTGTTGTCACTTTCTGACCCACCCCGACTGGACATCTGTGAAAAAGAGCTTTATAGTTAATCGGATTTCTCCAATGTAAATCAATATTCTGATTTATTCTGATAATTGTTATGAATAGTTTACATTATTTTGTCAATCCACTCTTGCACAAAGGCCTCTCCACATCATGTTGGTCATGGGTTTGGTTTGACCGTACTTGACCACGTTGGTTAGTGTGGGGAAGCGAGGGGAGGCCCAGGATTGGTTAAGATACCGATGTTCGCCGTGACCTGGATTAAAACTCAGGGGCTGCTGCTCTCACCACTGCTCAGTCATTATAATACCATTAATGGCAATACTGAGTCCTTTATTAAATACTGGTGAAAGATCACCGAGAAAGTTCCCATTTAAGACAGCTGACATTTATAACCATGTGGTGAATAGTAATTGCAATACCACAAGTGGAGTACTGATAATAGGCGGCCCTTTATTAACGTCAGGCGAGAGCTCACTATGAACATGTTCCAATAATAACAATCTGCTCTGAAAGATGAGAGAGCCCGTTGAGAAACAGTATGCCTAATAGATTTCAGTAATTGGTCATTTATAAATAAGGTAGATTGAAGCACACTTGAGATGACAGTTCTTTAATACTAATTACAATATCACTTATAGAAATGTTCATGGTGAGTGCTTTATTAAAGATAAATTAGGGCTTCTTGTGAAAAAAATGTCTCATTTAAGATTGACGCCATTGATTTATGTCTATCATGGGGGTTTGGTGACCATACTTCACATTGTTAGTCACTGTCAGTAGGGAGGCTTATACCACTTGCCATGTGTTAGCCATGGCCAGGAATCCAACTCAGATTGCTGGGTTCACAGTGCAGTGCACCAACGTCTACGTCACCACTCCACCCCAATATAACTTGTGCTTCACGCAGGGTGCTTCAAAACAATGTTAACACTTACATGGGACTATCATTTTTAAAGGGAAAAGAACGGAACATGATACATGTTAACAAATGTATGTTAATAGCTTCAAAGAGTCTCCACTTATTCGCCATCATTGTCAATACATACCCGGAATCTTCTCCAGGTGTTCTCCAGAGCCCTGTGGCAGATTTCTTGTGGTATTGTTGCAAATTCTCCGAAGTGTTTAAATAAATTGAAGCACCCTGTATATCATGTGAAAGCCCATTGATAAGAAAAGTGTGTTATAGAGATTACTATACCACTGGACCTCTGCACTTTTAAAAATCTCAATTGAAAACTAATTTCTTTCGAACTGCTTTTTGTGTTATTTCTGGGCATGGTACGAAAGAAGTTCAACAACGTTCAACCACATATTCAAAATGTGCTCCAACAACAAGCCATGATGACGAAGCAGATAAAGTGTATGAATAAATTACCCAACTACTATATTAGGATAAAATACATTCGAACACCAAAAGGTGATGTTAATCCAAAGTAAAAGGTGCAGAAACAGGGTGAATGGTAAGTTTGGCAATGGAGTGATCAATGAGGATGAGCGTGCAGCAGCAACATAAAATGATGAATACCTTAGTAATAGGTTTTAACCCTTTTATCTGGCACCAAAACTGACACCTTTATACAAGGGATCATGTTTGCAATAATCACAACACAAGCAGTCAAAATGCAAACAAAGGTGTCAGTTTTGGTGCCAGATAAAAGGGTAAAAACCCATTACTATATCTTGTTACTGGCAAAGGAGGTCTCATAATGTAAAGGCTTACCCCGAGCTCTCAATACTCTGATAGTGCGCTGTTTTTGAGTTGTACGCCTTTTGGCGTCATCTGGTCCAACACCAGTGGAGACGAGGCTCTAAGAAAAGCCATCTTGGGTGTGAACCAATCAATTTCAAGGACAGTGCATATCATTATCAGAGTTGTCTCTTTTGTTTGCATTTTGACTGCTTGTGTTGTGGTTATTGCAAACATGATCCCTTGTATAAAGGTGTCAGTTTTGGTGCCAGATAAAAGGGTAAAAACCTATTACTATATCTTGCTACTGGCAAAGGAGGTCTCATAGTGATGAATACCTTTTTCAAAAAGGAGGAATCTAGGGAGTTGACATGGAGAAGCCCTAATGGTGACATTATAAATGAGAATGACTTGAATCCGATGGGTAAACCCAGATTATCAGAGACGTCTCTGTCCTTATATTTCACACACGATGTGACCACAGACTGGTGAGATACACATTACATTTCAACATGGGAAAGAAACAAAAACTCATGATTCTCACTTGTTCTTCGTTAATGTCCCAAACACCTGCAATTCCATCCCTTGAAAAATGTCCTTGGTTACTTTCCCATCGCCATCCCAACATGACTCAAAGCGATTGATTCATTAAGATCACTTGCAATTGCATTTTACATATATGATGGAGGTCACGCAAAATCTCTTTGTTTGTTTCACTTGTTTGTCAACGTACTAAGTCAAATAATGTGTCCGAGCCAACTTACATGACAGGGAATTTCTAATTTAAAATTGTTTTACGTGAATATTTTCTATTTCTCACGTGAATCATTTTTACTCTTATTTCTATTTGCTTCATTGCTATACTTTATTTAATTTGCTTTTGTTATTTTGGTGACCCAGGTCTCTCTTGCAAATGAGACTCAATCCTTGTCTCGTGAGTTCTCACCTGGCTAAACAAATCAAGTTGAACTGAAAATTGCCAGAGATGTCAAAGCTAATTTCAGGCAAAACCAAGATGATGAACATTAGTAAAGTTTTAGAAGAATCCAGAACAAAAAATTATAATGCCTCGAGGATAATAAAATAATACATGGATTAAATAACGCATCAACTCGCATAATATATTATGGGTAATATAGTGTATTAAGAGTGGGGGTAAAGATTTAGAGAGCATATAGCAATCTCTAAATCCATTTTAAAAACTAGTTTAGGAAGAGAGCTACAAACATTAATGGAGATGCCGAGCTAAATATTGAACACATATCTCAAAAAAGACAATTAGGAAAAACGTGAGAAAATGAATCCGACGCAAAGATGACTGAAGATGTCACAGCAAATAATTGGAGCGTCAAAGGAGTAAAAAGGTTGATGATTGGCAACTCACAAATGCTAAGACTTAGGAAGAAATATGCAACTGACATATATAATTTTAATTAGTGGACAACTTATTCAGATAAATCTCAATGGCAGTAAAGCATCCATACATCCCAGGAATCAAACCAATTCTCAGATGCAGAGGACGAAGTTCTAGATGTCACTCTCGAGGAAGTAAACTTTTCCCCTTCACATTGTGACAAAGGGAAAGCTCCTGAGCCAGGCGATAAAACTGTGGACATCATCAGACAACCAGGACCATTTGCTTAATCGGTCCTTTAACCAGGCGAAAGTCCAATGAGACCGAATGCTTTTTTTCACTGTGGTTAATGTTAACCAGTTCTGCAAAATTGTTAATAAAGACGTTAATGTTAAACTCAAGTTGCTGTGGGCTAAAGCAGAGGGAATAAGGCTTGGCATGGCATATAATTATAGAAGCTACTGACAAACAATTCTTGGCTTCAGGATGTTAAATGAATAACAGCATAATGAAGCGTTGTTAATGCCTCAACGGTTTCGAATTAATGGTATGTTTATGGTGTTTAACATTGCTAAAATAGGTGTTAAAGTATTAAAACCAAATTGAATTGTGTTAATATGTACACCTGCAACATCTTGTCCATATAATGTGTTTATGGTTTGAGTCTCAGACTCAAAGTCTCAGACTTAAACCATCAGCAGGAATTATCTACCATAATCTGATCACCGTGAGGTTTCACGGTGGCGAGACGTTAACTACCTCGCCTGGTACATGGGTCATGGGTTCAAACTGAACCTTGACGCCTATATATTTAGAGTTTGTATATTCTCCCTGTGGTCACGTGGATTTTTCTCCGGGTTTTCCCTCCGCATTTAGAATCATGCGTTTAGAGTATTAGGCTGCTGTCAATTTCCACACAACACACTTCGTTGAGATATATAGCTCAGTGGGACATACCTGGTAAAATAAAAAATAGTTTAAAATAGTTTAGCTTAGATAAAACAAACATGCATGAGTATTGTGCTTCACATTCACAGATATCAAACACACCCTTTCTAAATTTAGTAACACACTAAAACTTCCTTACACACCCTGGGCCGTATGAGTGAATACTAAATAATGGCCACTTCCTCAAGTTATTTTAATAAACATCGATAAATATAAAACCCAAGTATATTTTAACGGTGTGTACTGCCGGCTATGACACGTAGTTCAGAAAGGTCACGAAAAAGACACTGAACTATAACTAAAGTGTGCAGAGAAGCATGGTATTACAGTGAGACAGAAAGAGGAACATGATGAGCGAAAATACTTATATCATTCAAACTGTGAGTGGGGCTTGCAGGAGGACATATCTCTAGTAGTAATGTTATCAGAAGGTTAATAATAACCCAATCAAATGTGCATTTTTAGAGCTGCTTCACTCAACGCACTTGACATAGCTTTACACAACGGTGACAGAACGTGATTTAGAAGACAGGGGGCATACAAGGATTGAGGAAGGAGTGACAGCGATAGGGATCACCAAGGGTAGAGGAGGGATGGGAAGGAGTGAAGGGGCGAGGGAAGGGAAGAGAATGAGCAATAATGATGAGGCTTTGGGAGAGAAATGAAATGTGGTAAAGGAGGGGGGTTTCCTTAAATGTACAAGGGAAGTTGATTCCAGTGAAGTTGCAAGGAGGGAGAACCGAAAACGGCACGGAGGAGGGACAGAAAGAGACAAAGAAGATTGGGGACGAAGAGGACGAGAGAGGGCACGGAGTGGCAGCGAAGGGATGAAATGCATGAGAGGACGTCAGCTGAGGTGACGGAGAAATTAAATCAGCCCAAGCTGTGCAGGTGTTGGGTGGATGATAAACATTGCAGGATTGAGATAATGCGGTCAATTAAAGAGGCCTTCATCCAGCAGTGGATTGACATTGGCTGATTATATATTTCCAATTTAAATTCAAAGTTACATATTCATCAATTCATGCGAATATGCAATTCACTTTAAAACAGCTTTTAAGAAACATTAATACAAATAGTAATCTGAATCTCGTGGGTTTTTGTAAAACTAGTTCTATTTTGTAAGCTAGCTTGGGTTTTGATTCACAATAAATAAATACCACTGTTGAACATGACGCCCGTAAGATGCATATCTATAAATCCTTATAGATATATTTACTTAATGTTATATTCCCAACAAGTGCCACTGGGAGAAAAAAATCCTTCACGGAAGACAACTGTTTAACTGCACAGTAGACAACTATTAGGTGTATTTAATATTTATTAAATGTCAACATGTTATTTTGAATGGCATGCATTACTTACAATTAGCTTAACAGTGTACATATTCTCTCACAATAATGGTAAACTTCTTTAAGTCATTTATACAATATACCTTGTAGTACTGCATTAAATGTACATCGACGACCTTAACTGTAACAATTTATGATGGTTATTTCATAATACATAAGCATTGCGTATTTTTTGTTTAATAAAGACAAGTGATGCATTATACAACATCATGTTTTATTTTAAGATCCCCATGATTCTATATTTAGACTGACTAAAACAAGGCACTGAGATTGAGTTGAAATGGGCTGTTTGGCAAAACCTACACGTTCACCATTACATGTGCAAGACTGGAGATATCCTAGGAGAGGCGTGGGTGCCACATTGCTTATATCAACAAGGCTGCACAAGCTCAGCATCAACTCCATACGTTAAAAAACCGTCTTGACTTCAACGGCAAAACACATTACAATAACAACGTGGATGTGTCTTGTGCTATTTAGTCAAAGCGAGAGTAATGGAATAACATCCGCTATTGCACAAAGGCTTAATCGCCATCATCATCATCGCCACCACCATACATATTCAAGACCAGCTCCTGTGTCACCATCAGAATTGTCAAGAACCAACTTATTTTCTAGCAATATTCCGTAAAGTTTTCGGTGCACTTTCGTGAATTGAGCGAAAGACAAAAAAACCCTTTTACTTCAATGTTCATGGGGTGCTTTATTTTTTATTCAAATTTAAGCAAAATAGTTGGTAAATGAAGTGGTGTGTCCTCTTCTGTGGGTCATAATCCCCTCGTGGGGTCCTGCAGAGGTTAGCACAAGCATGACCGAGTGTGTGTGCATGTTTACAGTGTCCACCGTTTATGCATGGGCCATCACGGAGCTTGCGTACTATAACAAAGTAAAGACTTACAATCAAGATTTACCCTATTGCTGTTAACAGAAGTTGTGACTTTTTATTAAATATTAGTGGCGGAGTGAAAATAAAAATGCAAACTTTAAGCACAATATAACTGTAAATGTAACAAGTAGAAAATATATCCAGATGATCATGTAACATATTATTGCCTGTTGCATATATTTGGGCAAAGCTCATTTCACTCTCACACGCACGCTCTCAGCACTTAAGTACAGGGATTTCCAGCTTTGGGATGCAAGATAACCTAATTTTATCATGTTATTTACCTCTTAAAATGTAACTTTCTATCAAAAACTAAATAAGTGACAAATTAGGCAAGGATTTATACAGCATGGCAAGGAATGATTATAATTATTAGACATTACCTTATATCAGTGGTAAAGTGAGAGCTGGTCTATTAACTTCGGAATTTCCAAATAATTAATTTATATATTCACGGTAAATTGAATGTGGCATATGCAAGATGAATATACCAGCGGAACAATACATTAAACAGATTTTTTTAAACAGATGGCAAATAACATTTTTACACAGGAATCCTGTCCATCTAACCTTTTGTATACAGGTATTTACATAGTTTTTTCCTTCTCTTTAAATTACATTTCCTATGTTTTGATCAGTTAAGACAAATGGTTAAGACTACATGTGGACCCAATTGTACGTACAAAATAATCACGTTTATCATCTGGTGCAAAGTAAAAGCGTTTTAATTTATAGTCAGTGCCACAACGAGTCACCCAGGATTCTGCAAAAAAAGAAAACATTAAGTAGGTGTACCGTTTAAAGTTAACATTAACTGTACAGACACACTAATGTGAACTGGTCACATGGCTTGCAGGTCTTCAGAAAAATCCAGCGTGGCTCGTTTTAATACCATACACACCCTAACCAAAGTATTGCCAGACTGCACAATAACTGCAATATTGGTGGCCAACAATCGCTCAAGCTGAGTTTACTAGTGCATGTGCAATGTGTGACAGTGTATTTACTACTGTATGTCATAAACCTTCTGTAACTAGACTTCTTGGCAGTGATGGCTAATTACATTAAAGTAAGCTGTTACTAGCGCCACAAACAGTTAAAAATGTATAAATATAATTGACACATTTACCAGACACCTAAAATACAATCACTGCCAGTGCACACAGTATGCAGAGTTCAGTAACGACGTATAACATGCGGCTGACTTGATAATTGTAATAGGATTAGAATTGCAAAAGGTGAAGTAGCTAATAGTAAGGCTTGAAGCATTGAATATTGGGGTAATTAAGCAAATGGAAGAGTATTTCTACTTGAGATCATTTTGATGCACATCTGTGGGCAGGGGCAGAGGAAGATGGGCAATACCAAAAATTGATCATCATCCAGAGCCCTCCTCACCAAGTGCTGAAATGCGCTCACACACACACACAACTGCCAGACAAGATAGCACGCTCAGGCTGAGCATATTGACCGTGGCGGCATGACAAGATAAATATAACAGTCGACTCGAAAACACCTGCTACTGTGGGATTTAAAATGGCACTAAGGAAGACATGTTCGTTTATTTCACTTGCACCTTCATTTCTTCGCTGAAATAAAAACCGGCGGGAACAATGGGAATTAGTGAATTCATTTTGTTCCACTCCTCGAACTCCAGCCTTGGCAAACAGTGTTTTTGCCAACAAAAAATAATAAACAAGACAAGAATGAACGTTCGTTACCAAAGATGACGCGTTTTTTCTTCCTCATGTAATTTTAAATTCACCCAAACTCATTCCACTTGCTCATATATTAGTTACATCACAACTATAAAAATTGTGACTTGATAGACAACTTGATTGCTGCAACATGGGTGTAATATATGCAAAGCTCTCTCTATATATACCAGGTACATATACACTGTAAATGTGATGAGCAACGAACAGCTCAGAAAATCGAGAAGCCACAAACGCCCACTTGGTGGATTAGCAGCCTCCACATTGTATAATATAGTTATACACTTACGAAGACGACAACTACACAATAACATTAACTGCAATATTAATTGACATTGATGCGATAACTCGCAAATGGAGTGTAAAAGGTGTGCTCTTGGCAATCAAAATATATATTATATTTGTAAGTGTGCACAGGCATTATTAGAGGGCAAGGGTCCAGCCACAGCTGCTCCATTTTTCTTAATTTTCCTTTCGCAGCAGAGGCCTTGGACATTATGACTGCTGCAGACAGCCACTGACAAAGCGTTCCACCCTGCTCCGCTCAAGGCTCCCACTTGATACGTCGAAGGACTCCACCGTGCACTGCTTAATAAGTCCCCGGCAGACCGGCAGTCAAGGATCCACCCTGTGTTCAGCCTAAGGGCTCAGCCCACTCAGCTCCGACGGCTGCCGTTTTCCGCCTCACAGTAGCCCGGGGGGAGGGGGGGGGCACGTGTCTGGGAATTTGCCGGCATGCACGCAGAGGGTGGCGAGCATCCTATTTGAAAATGTAGGTGATGAGGAGCTGCGAGAGCAACAGCAGGAAGATGAGCATCCAGTCTCGAGCCTGCAACAGGCTCTCTTCCTCTGCGGGGTGGCTGGGCAGCACCCTGCGAGCGAGGAAGGCCAGATTCCTGTGCGCGCACACGGGACACATGGTTAGTGTGGAGGCACGGAGACTCGGAGCCACGCGATTTCATGCAAAATCTATGCACACATATAGGTGTCAATACACACACATACAAATGGAGCCACAAAATGCGATAAAATTTACAATATAAAAGTATTCTTAGCTCTTTCGGTAAAGTCACGTTGAAGGGAAACAATAAAATAATAAAATATATTTGTTGTTTTTTTATTTTTATTGTTTTATATATATTTTATTATTTTATTGTTTCCCTTCAACGTGACTTTACCGAAAGAGCTAAGAATATGAATTACTGCAGTCACGAAAGCTTTAAATAAAAATATAAAAGTAGTACGGTCGGCCACCTTTTAATCATGTAAACTGTAAGACCATATGTTAACAATGTAAACTGTTAAGATTTACTTAGCACTCATATCAGTGGGCACATCACTTAGCACCTGTCCTACAAATATGACAGAATTTAAACAAGTAGACATCAAATTTTATTAGTGTCACCAAATTAAAAAATATGATTAGCTATGTTATCCACTGCAGTAAAATGCGCTTGGAGCAAATTAAACTGCAGGGTTCATAAAAATGTAATGAACACTGCACCTGCAGTCAGTTCCTGCAATAAGTATATAATGCTGCGGTGGACATGACGCACACCTGATAATTAATGAATGCATAATCACACGTAAAAAAGGTTTGTATTTACGTAATTCATACCAAAAGCTCATCCTCCCTTTTAGCAAATGGTCTAGAGCAGTGGTTAGTGGTCCATAGGTCCAAACTGGATGGCAACGACTGATCTAGGGGAAACGTAGGATTTAACAGCTGTCATGTATCACTGCATGAATCCCAAGCCCACCAATGACACTCCAAAGCCATACTTGTTAATTTCTTCCTGTGTTTTCCGGACTGAATCAATGGCCTCGTGGATTTCCACCAGCCCATGCCTCCTGCGAGACCTCGATCCATGCGACCTCACGTCTGTTCGCAGACAGGGAGAAGAAACCGTTGCAGCCAATAGATGGGAATCGACAATTGTGCATAAAACGGCTGAACTACGCGCATATATTTATTTTGTTATTTTCTGACAGAAAGGTACTACGACATGCATTTATTCAAAACGGAATGCAAATGAGACAATTGAGTGGCAATGATCTAGATTAACCTTGATTGCTATACAGCATTTAAACCACTAAATTTGATCATTTAGCATCCAAGAATAAAACATGCACGACGAGCTCTACTTTTGACCAAACCGACATGACAGGGACGCCCGCATGGCAAGGAATGAAGCGTTGTACCATCGTTGTCGGACGAGTCCAAGTGCTGGTGGTCTGGCAAAGGGTTTTTCCGATGTCGTAGGCCACCCTTGAGTGGTTTGAGGTCCGGGCCCACCGTCTGAAAGCCCTTGTGAGATGCCGACGGCACGGCGAGGCTCGCCACACTGTGTGCCGCCCTGTGTCGCATGTGCGTCTGGATCACGCCGTCTCTCTCAAACTGCACCATGTCGTTGAGCATATCCCAGGGCCTGGTACTGTCAGCCACAACAGGAGACCCCCGTGCCCGACGGCGCCCAATTAAAACCGACGCACGGTGTGGCTCGATGCATCTGTGGGGGAATGGCTCCACAGCATGTAGGTAGTGGTTGCACGTGTGTGGGCTTGTATAGCCTCCAGTGATTTTAGAAAAAAAATGGTCATTGCTTTTATTACATTTAGTTAAAGCCTGCAATACAAACGGGCGAGAGAGTATATCCAGCAATGTGAAGATAACATACTTAACATTTACTGCATGCCTGTTCAGTTTTACAAAGTCTCAATAAAATTTAGGCTATTATGGTCAAAGGGGAATAGCTTTACCACATTTAAATTTGATTAGACTGAGTTCCAAATTCAACTACTGCCCATCAAAAATGACAATATTTACCAATTTGAATGCTTCAGGCAATGGTCAATACTTGGCATGAAGCACATTATGAATGTTTTTAAGACTGCGTAATATGGAAGTAAACATTGTCGTGTGCTGATGGTACGGCACGTAAAGTCGCAGAGTCACAAGGTTGCAAAAGGCCACTCACTCTGCATATTTATAACACCAGGCGCCGGTGATGGGGTCCTGCCGGAACAGTTTGGGTGTCCACTCCGAGTTTGACTCCTTGCGCTCCTTGGCTGCATTTCGCTGGGCCTCTTCCAACACAAATTTCTCCTGCGTCGCTCTGTTCTGGTCCCTGTCTTGGATGGCCCGGGTCACGTGCTGCCACAGCCTGGCGTGTCGACATGGCACGCTCAGTCATTCACACTTGGACTTATCTCCACAGAGAAATGTCCTTTATTTCAGCAAGAGATCAATGTTAAGGTGCAGTCGTGCAATTTCTTGGTCACGCCACTGTCGGCAGAAGGGCCTCCACTGGAGAGAGAAGTAGAGAGCCCCTCCAGAGGATATCTGGCCGACTCTTTCATGCAGATCAAATGTCTTGGAAGAGATCAGAGTACCACCACACTTTAACCCACCATATAAAACCCGTCGATCGACCGACTTAAGTGTACCCATTTATACTGCTGGGCGAATAGAGGCAGTGGCATTTGAAAAACTTGCACCACTGTTTCAAACACAGCAGTGGATGATTGAACAGGTGATCGCAGGATTACAAGATTATCGAGCAAACCATTACCCTATGGCAGCAACCCCACTTTAATGAACAGTAATAAAAGTAAATAACGCACGTCAATAGAATCACATGCAAATTCAAAAATACATGATCCAGCTTTATATTTGAGATTTACTTTAAGACTTTATTTATTTCAGCAGAAAGGAGCAAAATTAGCTGTTAGGTTCTATATCATGGGCATCCTGGGATGGTACTGATGTTATGCAGCACAGATCTTGGTTACAATCGTGGTTTCGTAGGTCGTGTCTAGATAGCAGCAATTAATTATTATTATTTTTAAATTACAGAAGAATAATCTTTATCAGAATCATTATTTATCCAGGAGATGATATAAATTATATAATTATTCACCAACTTGTTAACAATTCAATGGAAAAATGTTATTTTTTTGTTTAAAGACAATGAGGAACTAATGCATGGTTTGCTAACAGTCATCAAAACACACTCAGAAACCACAGATAACAAAGTACGCAGCACAATACAAAAATACACATTACTTTGCACAATACAACACTAAGTCATTCAGGAGGACACTCCTCGTCTGTACAGCATTACCACAATGTTCGAGGCCAGGATGGATTTGGCTTTGTTGAGACATTTTAAAGATGACTCTTAAATCCACACGAGTTTATTTCCTTTCCCTTTATTTTGCCAAGACATTTTCACTGATGCCAAGAGCTTCAAATTATGTGTCCGTTGTACTGTAACTTATCCTTTGACTACAATGAGGTACAACTGCTTCAGAAAGCATCAACATGTCTACATCACAAAATATATTGACTTTTTTTGTTCCTAATGGGAAGGCACTTAGTACCACCTGACTTTACTGTGACAGGGAAATTTGAGCTTGTCAACATTCAGACCAGCAGCATGCACACACTTTCGCTACTCCAATATATTCTACCATTGGTAAAGGAGGGTTGAATTATACAACAAGTGAACCAAAGAGATGAAAAAAAACTCAGTTTTATTTTAATACCACCTGTTTTCCAATTACACAATACACTTAACCCAGGACGACCTGTGAAAATAATGTTTAATCTCAAGTGAGTTTTTCTGGTTCTTCCCAATTAAATAGAACACCACAATGATTGCAGTAATACACCAACTTGATGTAGAAATGTAAGTTACATTCAGTTTACAGTTCACAAATTTGAAGTGTTGAATAATTGCACAAACTGGTATTATGGAAAGGTCTCAAATTATTTTTAAACGGGAGCCTGAGTACGAGTGAGGCAGCGTCGGACACTCCTGATGCCTACTGAACCCAAGAGCAACCCCCCCAGGCAATCTCCAGTCCCATAAAATAACGTTTTTTCATTTACACCGGCGCTATACAAAAGCTATTATCCTTTATGCAAAAAAGCAGAAGAGGTTAATTGTCTATATAAGCAACTAGGCTGGATGTACCAGAATGTCTTCCATCCATTTGAAGCTTTGAAAATACATTTGTTTTTTAAAAGCTTGGTCAGCCAACCTTTTAAAGCATTCTTGTGATATTGACACCAAAAGTAGCACAGTGATTCAGTGACTTCACTCGCACAAAAATGAAGTGATTGATGACAACATTGTTTATCGTCTTTTTCCAAAGTTGTATTCCAATTGTGCTACAGGTATCATCATGTCAAAAGACCAAGTATCTAGTCAGATCTCGTGCACAGCAGTGCAACCCTTTGTTAAAGAACGGCCCGGGGAAGTGAACACCACAGAGCTACCTCTGAGATCCCCACAAGTGACCTCTGGTCCACACAGTAGGGAGCAGCACTTTCCCACCAGCCCTGCCACAGAAAATAATGTTTGTTGCATTACAGTGAAACTGATATTGTTAATTTTCAGAGCTCCAATTTAGTCATTAAGTAGCCAACCAAATTTCATGTAACTTTTTTTTGTGCAGTTGTTGGCGACTGAGCTGATTTCATAAAACTCACAACATATTCTTGGGTCTTTCGGCAAAGTCACGTTTATAGGTTCAAGGAAAATAATCAAAAATAACAAAAAACTACGACGTTACGGTCGCAACGCAAGAGGTCGTCTTCAGGAAAAGGCAACCCACTTGCGTTGCGATCGAAACTTCGTAGTTTCTGTTATGTTTTATTATTTTCTTTGAACCTATCTACGTGACTTTACCGAAAGACCCAAGAAATATGAATACCTGCAGTCACGAAAGCTTTAAGTCAAGATTAAAACTTGCAACACTTGAGAACCCAGTTTATTCACCGCAGGCTGCCGAGGATTAAACTCGGGACTCATCTGTGCTTGCTCGGTTGCTCTGGACTCTCGTATCTAACCGGCCACCACCTCGAATCAACACAACTGCAAAGTCGCTTATTTTTTCTCGGGAAAGAAATCTTCAAACGTGTGTTTGACAGGCCTGGAGTCAGCTTAGGAGCTTAACTACAATACAATAGATGTGTTTTGTGGTTGCATCTTCCCGTAACAAGAGCCTTCAACACCCCGCACAAGGCCTACGCGTGCCGTGCACCTGGAGCCAGGGGCGGCACGGCCGCCCCCCCCCGTGCCTCGCACGGTCTCACCTCTCAGACTCAAACTCGCCCTGCTCGTGCATGGCGACCGTGTGTCGCTGCAGCCGCTGGTGCCGCACGTCTGACGTCGGGTGCCAGAAAACCTCCGTGACGCCAGACGACAGCTCGTGGATCAGCACCTCCCGGTCCTGAGTGGGGTGAGGACAAGCATTGAGACCGCTCAAGGTTGCTTAACACTCAGGCTGTCATGGCCCCTCAAACATGCTGCCTTGCCTGTCCGGGACCCCAGTGGATGTCCTGGGACTTGTCAGTGCTGCCCTGGATATCCTGGCTACCCACGATGCCCTGTGTTGGTTCTCGTTGCTTTGTCCCAGGGCTGTGCTGCGGTGTTGCTCTCTATCGTTTATCTCTAGTTTCTCTGCCCTATCCTCCCCTCCCTTCCGAACCCCAATTCCCTTTCTTCCTTCGTGTACTTTTTGACCTCTTGAAAGCATCTTGAGATGCGGCCATATGTAGACGTTACACAAATTGAAATTTTTGTTTTGGTCGTCATAGGCCTAGTGGAACGCAGTGGGGCTAATGTTGCGGAATCACATGGCCCTGTGAGATTAAGTTCTCTTTGTCTAACAAGTGTTCTATACATTTTTTCTCCAAATTACAGCATCTTTCATTATGGACCATTACAGAAACCAGCATACATTTATGGTAGAGTCATGGCTTTTAGAATAAGTGACCACATACATACTTCCAAAGTCTCTTCAAATGCCTCTTATTCGTACATGGTTGATGCTGACTACTTGCCCTGCAAGCGTTGTTTGTCGCTTACCAATAAAAATGAAGTGTGTTAGTCCTTAGAGTTGGAATGTGTCAAAGTAGGCATAAAACAATAAATATGACAGTTTTTTGTGCAGTTACTGGGCTTAGTGGAATTAATTAGTAAAGTTTAGAGTTGAAGAACAGGCCATCGATAGCAGATTATCTAAGTTAATGGGTGCTTGTTAAATTAATGGTAGATTAATTCGTAGTTCAATGATTTGTCAGCAACTCTCGTTATGAAATGGTTCTCAGTCACGGATATATCATAAACCATAGGTTTCTCACCCAAATTGGCCATTTTGCCAATCCCTTAAGAATCGTGAGTCATTTTTACTTACGGTACAATTATTATTATTATAATTATCTGTTGGCGAACCATATTTCCTTGTATTTGTTTCCAATCCATAACAGCTGCAATCGCACCAAAAGGTAAACGTTGAGTATCTATTCAATGGTAATCCGTTCTGAAGACAGTGATGATGGACACCACCAGAGACTGACAACGTCCAACTGGTATGCAATAATTTCACCCTAAACACTTCATTGGCCACACAAAAAACTCCCGAATTAAAATGTAATGGGTGAAGCTTCAACCACAGATATGGCTTACAAAAATATACGTGGAGAGTTATACAAGTCACTGGGCCAACTGGCCCAGTGATTAAAACATTAAGAAGGTCTCTCCCCAGGGTCCATGTGGGTGCTTTCAGTGGCTGCTGTAATTATGAAGAAGCAACTCACCCAATGCCCCTGCAGCGTGGCCAACACCTCCTTGCCAAGCTTTATTTTCCCAGAAACTTGGTTCACGCTGTCCGAGCTCCCCAGGAATGGCTGCAGGAATAAATCGTGACAAAGCACACAAACAATGCACCATGTCTACCGTGAACACCGCCTTATGAGAGGAACATAAAAAAGCAGGCTAGTATCTCAGGCAACGTTACTTCCTTCAGTGCCTTCAGAGTGCCACTGCCCTAAAAAGTTGACCCGTTGTATATTTCACTATTGCCAGATAAAATCAATGTAAGGGTCTGCCATTGGCAGCGGTGCACAAACACACAACAAATGACTCGCCAGATGTGTAATGAATAGTCTCATAACAGAGCCGGCATGCACAATATAAATTTACAGCCCCCTTGTCAATCCACTGCTGGATAAAAAGATTCCCATGTTTGTTATTTGTTAGACTATACTTCACCACGTTGGTCAATGTTGATTTGTCAAGCGGTGGCCTTGAGACAGGTTCAGATATCACTTGCCCTTTATGTTAACTATGAGCAGAAATCGAACTCAGGTTGTCAGGTTCATGGCACAATGCGCTAGAAACTCTGCCGGGTTATTAAAGTATACACATTTTTTTCCGTGACAAGCCAGTGTTAATGAGGGACGTGGTGCGTTGAATTTTTTTGTGCTTTTGCACCACTGCCAATCTGATCCTCCACAAAAAATTAAGATATATAAAACCTGTTCATTTACTAAGCACGCTGAAATTGATTTCAAGCAATTACACATGATAAAATAACGAGCAAACATTGAAAGCTAGCTTTGAAAAGTAACCATTACAGAATATGCGTGGTAAACCTTTGGGTGCTCTGCTATATTATCATAAATGCAATCCTAACATTTACCAAATTGTTACTTATTATTGCGAACCAAAATAGAAAGGTACGTTTCATCAACATTGCATGTAAACGAGACAAAAAAATACAAAACCTGTAATTTTTTTTATCAATTAAAGGGAAAGGTTATTACCACCCAAAACAAGCTCTATTATGGGAAAGATTTTGTTCGCGCCAAATCCCTTAAAATCACTGTACGGACAAGGTAAAAATATAAACGTGAACACACTTCCACAACTATTGTATTGGTGTTTATAGATAACACATTGTTTACCTTGAGTTTGAATTCAATCTCGGCTTTATAGTTGGTCTTCTCGCAATCGATAATAATTTTCCCTCCAAGTTCAAGTGTCATGGTGCCGTAAAGGATGCCTGTGGGTTTAAAAGGTAAGTTTCCACGAGCTCGTATGCAACTCATGCCCCTTTTCTAAATGGATATTAGCTGCCCATCAGTATCTACTTAACATTCCATTTCATCCCAAGACACCGCACCAGCTTTCACAGCAGATACTTATGGATCTATAACTAAAGGCTGGGTGCTAATTTCAAAAGCGCTTTATGCTTAATTGCTTGGCATGCTACTCTCGGCAGTGCAGAGCAGAAGAATATCATTACAAAACAAGTGCTTAATGCCATTTAATATTACACGGGGTTATGGAATGTTTACAGTTATAATGCCAGTGTGTCCTAGGAACAACTGGACATGACTGCATAGAAATGAGTTCTCCAGAACCCTAGTGTAATAGTGTGCTGCATAAAGGCCAAATGTAAAGCATAATCGTAAAAGTACAAGTAAAAAGTATAATCACAAAACACATTTGGGCACTTTCTGTGAAATTAATAATGAAGGCAGGGTTAACAGAGTTACACAATGGAATGGTTTTCTGGAACAATATAACGCATGTTTAAATGTCCCTCAATCTGTGCTGTGAAAGATCCTCTGCAGTTTATTTGTTGATAATAAGGATGACAAGATGATTGGGGGGGACATCGTGTTTTGTACCAACAACCAGGCAATCAACACGACGTGCAGTATTCAAGAACGTGCCAAAGCAAGCAGCTCTGCTGGGATAACAACTGTGGCAGGTTTCCTTGACGATGCAATGACAGCTGATCCAAGTATGTGCGCACAACCGGGCGACTATGCCTCACCTTTACAATGCGCATAGGGCATCGTCATTAAGTATTCCTCGCCCCGGTTGAGGAATGTCAGCTTCCCCTCGCCATCCAAAATGGCAGAGAGTGAGTTTCCTGAGAAAGGGCAAAACGCGGTTGAACGTGGGCATCGTCGAAACTTCCAAGCTCAACAGAAAGCTTGTCGTAAAATAACGAGGAGCCTGAAAAAATGAGCCCGAGTTAAATGGCGTGCAGATACAAACCTGGACAGCTCATCGGTAATACAGAGATATAACGAAGAATACTGCTCATGCTCATATATTACATTTTAATATGCACCGTTAGTACGCTTATTCTTCTGAAGATAGTATTTTGTTTTGGTTATTTCATGCTTTGTACTCGAAGGTGTTAAAGGTTCTCACCGTAAAATTTTGATCTTGCCAAGATGTTACCGCTTATGCAGAAGCCGTCTTTTCTATTGCTGATGAAGAAGGCAGAGATGGGAGGGTGATGCGAGACCTAGGACACAACAGGGTTTAACACTGTTCATTTCATTTGCTCCCTGCATCTCAGCATTAAAACAACAACATATTGCAATCTCATTCACCAGCACGTGTACAAACTCAAATAACCATACACTCTCAAAATAATTTTACCCTCCACATTTAGAAACATGCGTTTAAAGTAATTAGCTGCTATACATTTCCACATAAGCCACTTTGATTTAAAGCTTTCGTGACTGCAGTAATTCATATTATTAGCTCTTTCCGAAAGAGCTAAGAATATAAGCCACTTTGTTGAACTATCATTTGTGGCCAGGTTGCTGCTAAAAAGAGCCTTATAGCCAGGTGAGCAGCACATTACAATGTCTATTCAACTGAAGTAAGCCTTTTCTTGTGACAGGGTTACATGTCAAACAAATACACTGCTTCACTTCAGCTCTCGTGAGAATTCCACTGAACCCTGCTGCCAAGTGCATGGTTTATAAACGCTCAGTGACGTATAATTCCACAACTTGGAAGTAAATAGTGAGTTGAAGGAATGGCCTGAAGGATCTCACCAACCTTAATGTGATTAGCCATGACCAAGCTGAATGCTACCTGCATTTATTTCGCCGTGACCACATCTGCTGACTATTCCAGAGCTGCGCGTTCCAACGTCTAACCCTGTGCACCTGCTCAGAGATGTAGTAAGTCTTGCTGCTGGTCTGCGGATGGATCCACATGCAACGGAATGTCTCGCCAATTATTGGGTTGTACGGCTTTTTCAGACCCTGCAAGGAGCAGACATACATGGCAATGACACGCAAACAAACACACATGGGGCACAAACAAACACACAAGTATGCACATAGTATTGCATACTGAAATGGGGCCTAAATACCTGGCTTGGTTTTCAAAGCATTACATTTTGCTGACATGACTTTTTAACATAATTTCCTTTAAAAAATGTGACATGGGTTCCATGGAGGCAGACACTTCTAACTTGGAGGCAACACGTTTATCATACACCTCAACAGGGTAAACTACATACACACTCGACGGGATAACGAGATAATCGGACCAGGTCAGCTAACACGCTGCCTGGTCCACGATGTCGTGTGTGAAGATCTAAGAGCGAAGCCCGATTAGTGGAGCACGAAGAGTTGATCCCAGAGAACAGCCCCGCTCGGCTCACAGGATCCCCTTCTTATCCCCTGAGCGTGGCCTTGCTCCGCCCTCGGCCACGCCCCCTTCGGGATCTTCCCAGAAGGTTCTGGGACCTCACATCACATGTCCCCTTGGTCCCCATTCTGGCCCCCGTCCTTATCCTCTTTTTGTCACGTGCCCTCTCGGGTTCACCTATTCTGTCCCGTATGCCATACGTACTCTGTTGACAGAGAGAGGCTCTAAGATGCACAGTTACATTCTTCTCACAGTGGCTAGTACTAACACCGCAGTGACTTAATATACGTCACTACAAATGTATTGACCAAGCACACCAAAAGCAACTGTGATCTGAACTTCATTCGATTCCCTTTCTAGCCTGAATGAGTACTTGGTATTGTATCCCTACATCAACATTGTGGAGATAAAGGCATGCTCGGTGTACCGATGGTGCTGATCACACCCCCCTTGTGTTGATGTGTCATCTTTAATAGGTGTGTACTAACAGCACTTGGCCCAACAGTATAAACCGAAATAAAGTTGCTTGTGTGAGATTAACAACATAGCTCATGCCTTGGGTTTCTTGTAGAAGCCAGACAGGTACCACCGCACCACCTGCTTGATACGATCATATGCATTCTCCTCCACAGCAGCTCTGGAAAAAACAGGGAAAAAACAGCGATAAATATCGGAACAAATAAAGATAAATGCGACAGGTGAAACGGATGTGAAGACAAGTTTATAATACTCTTTAAATAGACACATTTGTCGGACAACTGCATTGGAGATCAACATGAATGGACTTCATGTCGTATGCATAGCCATACGGGTAAAACTTTGGACAACACTCGAAACCTAGAGTTTTTCAATGATGTGCCAGGACTTAATTCTGTGCACATCCTGAACAAAATTGACCAACAGTGTAGTTTAATTTTTTCACAATATTCTGAAACAAATTGAGTTGGCAGGCAGGAGATGTACATTTAAGATGCTTGAAGTTGCTGCAGGGCTGCTGTGACGTTTCACTTCACTCAGCATGAGCCCACAAGGGCATAAGAAGTTAAATCCCTCATTGTGTGCCCGTAATACAACAGAAACAAAGACCCGGTCTCATCGGGGGAACGAAGTTTTAATCTGCAAAGTGGATCTGCGTCTCTCCATATATATGCAGAGATCAGGCCACTGTGTGATGCAGTACGCACTGCGACAGGATGTCGGCGTGGTAGTAGTAGTCGGAGAGCTTGTCCAGGAAAGAACGCGGCTCCAGAATGAAAGTGGGCAGCACCACCTTTGACAGGTCCATGCCAGGCCGTAGCTGCTTCAAGAGTGTCCAGATCAAGCCTTTGTTTTCCTCGGAGACCGTCTCGGTCTGAGCCGCCTCTCCAACCTGTGTTGCATGCGCGCAAACACCCCAAGTGAGGTCAAACTGCAAATGCTGATCACCTACACTTCTGCAGCGCAAGTCAAAAAAACGTCGCCATGCTTTTTTTCACAAACAGCACATACGATACAAATGTGTCATGTGATGGCCGTCCTTCAGGTAGAAGTGCCACAGGCTCTGAAGAACATTAATTGCCAAACATGTCAGCCTATGATATATTTTATGTTGTAAAGAAGTCTTTATAATGAACATAAGAATATTTTATTTGTGCTCGTCCACAGCTGCTATTGCAGGGTTTCTTTTTTTGGTAGCATTGTATACCTGTGGGAGTAACGGTAATGATTTATTTTGTTAGGTGGGGTTTTGTTTCAAACATCTGTCTCTTGCTAAAGGAAATGTGCACAAGTCTCTTTCGGGAGGATTCTACATAGAAATGAGCCAATTCTTTCACGTGTTTTTTGTTGTTGTTGCGTGGGCAGAACCAAATAACGAAGAGAAAACCCACGCATCTAGCTAGACAGCACTCAAAGGACTGCAAGTGAGTCAACAGCTTACTTGCGCATTGACTTCTACAGACCAATTAGTTGGCGTGTAACAATTCACCCGCAATGATAATGAATTGTCATGATTCGGGAAAAGGATTCCACTGAAGAATCCATTCATTTTATTCCTCTTTTAACCGATTAATTGGATTGTTTCGAATTGTTTCACTCCCATTTGCAAAGTAACGTTTTCTCCCTCAGCCAGAATCTAACATTTACGTATTATTTGCAAATCATTTGCACAATCACAAAGCATTCCGATGGGTGGAACACTATTTCATGCTCCACGCGTTCTTACAAGTATCACTCTCTTTCCGCGTTAACACGAACGCGATGCTCTGTGTCGTCATCGGTGCGGTTCTGCAATCATCGACCGTAGCCGATGACGAGTGGGGGGGCGCGGGGGGGGGGCTGCTCACCTCGCCAAACTCCTCGCCCAGCTCGGCCACATAACCTGTCTCCACCACGGGCTCCGGGGGGGACCCATTGCTCTGGGAGCTGTTTCCCAGGGAGCCGTTCCCCGGGGAGCCGTTAGCAGGAGAGCCGTTGCTTGGCGTGGCGGTAACGACGGCGGCGTCAGGCCGGTCCGACACGTCCGAGTCGCTGTCGTCTGTCTTGTCGGCCGTGCCGTCCTCGTCCGACTCCTCGCGCTGGCCGTCACCACCGTTGGAGCGGCCCGAGCCCTCCCAGGGCAGGTGGTGCGATCCGAAGTGAGCGCTCTCGATCTCGCTCTCGTTCAAGCTGCGACCACCCGGCACGGCGCGTGAGGAACGGGGGGGTGGGGTGGGGGGGGGGGGGGCACGTGGGGGCGAGGTGGACAGTCGGAGGGATGACAGCACGGATCAATGCCATATCATCACGATCATAAACATCGGTCATCTTTTCATCAGTTATACCACTCATCCCACGCAGCACAGCCCGGAGGGGCCACAGCAACAAAGATATTGAGATGGAACAAAATATCTCCGAAAGGAAGTTATTGGGGACAAAATACAACGGGCATTGGTGATGCATGCCGGTAATCCAATGCCTTGGAGGTGGGTTTGGGTGGGTCACGCAGAATTCATCATGCTGTAAGACTCTCAGCCTCTTGAGCTAGAAGGTGGCAAGTAGGTGGCAGTAAAGCAAAGGGCTGCCAGCCTGTCTTTGGAGTTTGAGTGTTGTCTCCTGATTTTGTATATAAAGGGGTTTTTTTTTCCTGGGGGGCTGTTGCCAGATTTACTTGGAATTTTAAAATTTGGTTCAGGACATCAAACAAAGATGTTCACTGCCCCAGGCGAATTTGAAGGGGCACACTGACCAATATACCTAAGTGAATCTGAGATATAAGGACCTTTAGAAATGACATCAAATAAAATGTTACAGTAGAAACAGTCATGATTTACACAGATGGTAAAAGATGCCTACACCAACTGTAAATACACTGTATGTGTCCAATGCATGAGTGCAATAATGTATATGCATTTCAATATGCACAACATTTATCATGGCGATGATTAACGTGTTTTTCATCACCTTTGATAGAATATAAGATTTCAAAAAATATATGATTAGGTAGGGGCGCGGTAAAGCTGTGGGAAAAAGACAATTGCTCGTAAAAAGTTATAATTACGGACAACTCACAACTCATAAGCGACACGTGCGGTTAGAGTGCATAGCAAGGTGCAGACGTGGCCGCTATATTAGCACGACTAAACACAGGGGCATGCCGTGGGTCGAGGCTGCAGAGGGGCACCCATCAATTTGAGGTCTTGTAACCCATTTGTGTGACCAATTAGAAATCGTGGAACGTGCAAAGGTGAACACCAGAGCACCCTTCGAACGGTCGGCAAATATGTTTGCTTGCGATGATTCCGCATTAACTTGAAAGCTTACGTATTAATAGCAAATTACTCGCCTGCAAAAACAGCGAGCTGTAATTAGGCATGTAATGAAATATTGGCTTTGCAATAGATTTTGATTCACAGAAAAGCCATTATAATTGCACCATTCCCGTTTTAACGCATGATATTCAAGCACAAGCATCTGGGTAGTACCGCCAGGACGAGTACATGCTGCTTGGCCTTCTCATGAATGGTCAAATGGTTCTGTAGAGATGTTTATTACATTGGGAGTTTATGAAGCAGTGCCCACAGCAAAATATAGGCTTCGTGTGCCGCAAGTGAGACCTGTAACCCAGGACAATTAAAAAATAAAATGAATGTCACGGTAAAAATAGGCATGACGATGAACATGTTTTAATCCACCTTAAATAGAGGTCTAAATATAACAAACATGAGATCGGGGGAGAGGTGTAATGAACTAGGTTAATGTATGTTTTTGCAATGTAACCTGATACTGTAATAAAACACGTCAGTCTGATGCAATGTCATTTCAAACACCAATGATATATATTTTTAAGCATAAAAGTAAGACTTGTTTAAAACTTATTTAAGATTTTAGATTCCTATATGTTGAATGTATGCACCATCCTGCCAAAGTAAATTCCGTGTCGGTGTGAACTTTCATGGCGAATAAAACCCTTTCTGATTTCTTTCTGATTCTGATGTTTAAAATGCTGGATTAATCATTGCAAGATTAGTCATCTTCAGGAAGTAACTTGTATACTAGAACATTATGAAATGAAATGTGTACCGATTGTAACGCAACTATGGTTCAACGCACTCATCGGGTTTTCGTTTACTCCCCTGTACAGTGATGGGAAACCCCACTGCGATAGATCACATCTCCTTCTATGAGCCAAGCACAGATCCTGTGGGAGGGGATATTAAAGGACACATCTGCTAATGATGCCTCGATGCCAAAGATGTGACGAGAAGGGACAGGCCGTGGCTCGGCGCGAGGTGTAACCCGATGCGTCGTGACATCAGAGGCTGTGGCGAGAGGGAGATGACATTGTCGCACAATGCCCCCATGGCGCTGTGGTTTGCAGTGGCCTGGTGTGGAACGTTATCAGCTGCCACAGTTAAGTACGCCGTCTGTCATCACTGTGGTGTGTATTCGTTGGGTCTATTGGTAAAGCCACGCAGATATAAAATTAATAAAATAATAACAATATCACGACGTTTCCATCGCAACACAAGCGATCGTCATCAGGTGAAAAATATAGCGGGATAACTGCTGAGGCAGGAAAAATATATGGCGGGAGCGCTGCTAAGGCTGGGTGTTATAAAGGTTTGAGATGGGTGTAGCCCAAGGATCAGTGGGCGGGGCTAGAGATTAAATTAGCATGTAAATTTAAGATCGGAGGAATCTTGACAAACGAAGCTGTGGGGGTGGCCATTGTATTGTGAGAGATTAGCATGTCAATGTAAGACATTTGCTTGTAAATGTACAATCGGAGAGAGCTCGAAAATATGAGATGTGCCAAAGTAGGTAATGACAATTATATATTCAAGATATGTAAAAGCACACATTCATAATGCTGAATAAATGCTAAGTTGTGCTCAAATTTTTCCCCTCCCAAATGTGTTTTTTTTAACCAATTACGTCCCAATTTTACAATCCACACACAATGTCAAGAATCTGACAAATTTACTCTACCCATGCTATAATAATAACAAGAAGATATCATCTGCAGTGTGCTGGAAACCTTGGAGAATATAAATCCATCCCCATGGGAGAGAGCAGCTTTGGAATAATTCATTGAGGATATAGTGGCACAGTTGGTTGGCAAGCCGCACCTTACTCTTATAAACACACTTAAAATAACCAAATGAGGCTATAGCTTTATTGACACCCTCTCCACCACCTGATTGCCCAGTTGCCCATTATCAGGTCAAATTTCCCATTATCAAGACTGCATGGCCGTACTTCTCCTGGGGGCTGAATGGGGCGCTGGCCCTGAGCAGCTGCAGCAGCCCCATGTGGCCTCCATCCACCGAGTTGTTGAGCTCAGCCTCCTTGCCATCCTTGACCACGGCGCGCTTGAGCAGACTGGAGCAACGCAGCGCCAGCTCAAGGGCGTCCATCCAGCAGCGGCCTACAGCGAGATGACAACTCTGATGAGCGCGGTTAGCTACGTACGGTGCAAAATAAGTGCAACACACATACATACGTGCGTGCACACGGGGAAGGGAAGGACGTGGAAAAAGCGTGCGAACGTGCAGAGGTGATTGTGAGGTGGCTGGGTGGCTCAGAGCTCTGAACCGGCACAGCTAAGATCTGAGTTTTAATTCCTGGTAGCCACCTGTATTTAAACCACGTTCTCAAGTACAGTGATTTAAATGTCTCAGCTGGAAGAAAAGAAGAAAAAAAACCGATCACAATAAATTTGGTCCTGCTTATAATTTGGATCAAATCCAACTATAGGAATTAATAATATCGATTTTACGATCATCTGATGAACATCAATTCCTCTGTGGCACAGCAGGTGGGAAAGGGCTGCCGTCTACTGTATATGGACAGGACATCACTTGAAAAGATCAGAGGCAGCTCTGTGACATCCACTTCTGTGGGCCATTCAAGAGCAAGTAGCGTGTGATGCTCTGCTAGCGACATTTGGACATTTTGGATAAAAAACCAGAAAAAGAAAAAAAAGGAATAACATACACAGTATATGTTTGTGAGCGGCCTACCCATGTGGATGGATGGAGGATGGATGCCGAGAGAACCGACCTCAGGCAGTGCTTGTTGTGAACACAGCAATACCCAGTCCACTATCAATGGTTAAATCACATTGAGCTGACTGTCAGTAAACAACCACATATCTCCAGGTCTCCATGTTTAAGTTCCATTCTTTGTTACTCTGTACTCTGCTTATTATTATTATTTGGCTGCTACACATTTCCACATGATAATCCACCATCGTGGATTATTTGCTGCCATGTCACGTCTAAAAAAGCTCAGTGGGGCATACCTGGTAAAATAAAAAACAAAAATGTTTCGTGATTTGCTTACCTTTCCCTATGCTTTGCACTCCTGTTGTATTATTTTTGTAATTTTCTGACCTGCCCCTACCGGACATCTATGAAAAAAAGTTTTATAGCTAATCGGATTCCTCCAGTATAAATAACGATTCAGACTCTGATCACTATTTGTGTGTCAATATAAACAGAGAAGTTAACTTCTCCCACTTAACTACAACACATGGGAATGAAGTCTGAACAAAAAAAAAACCCTACACACATCTAAAAATAAAAGTTAATTACCACACAGGAAGGAAATGATCCCATTCAGTTCACAACGAACTTGGCACCAATGCACAAACGATGATCCCGAGTGTAATTGGGGTGCTTGGTACACCAGACGGACGCGTGCAAGGACATCGCCGTGTGCAGCGCGTAGCGTGGGCTCACCGTCCGACTCGGAGATGGCACGGAAGATCAGGTAGCTGCCAGGCAACGGCTGAGTGATGGCGCCAACTGTCTCGCCCTCCGGGCCCTAGCAGTGTGGGCAGACAGCACGGCTTTCTCAAGGGCAAACAGAGAGAATTGCTTTTGGACAAAAATGTGCAGCAGCCTGAAAAGGGTATATTACAATTTTATCACAAATATCAGGCGAGTTTTATGATGATGTATGCGTGTATGTGCTGCACATCAAAGGCAAAGATACCCCCGTATAGCGTTTAACAGACTGCGTGGGCAAGTGCTATTTGAAAGCACCAATTAAGGCCGGGGACGGCATGCGAGGGGATGGTGTGGGCAGTACCACATCTGGCCGCCTTTGCTCTCCCCAGTGCTACTGTTCACACAGCACACCAGGTACTCATTTAAGGTTAAGTCGACCTCAGGGAGACCTGGGACCAGTTCAGATATTTGCCACTTATGCTGATTCAGCCTTCAATGAGTACCTGGTGTGGTGTGTAAACATCAGCACTGGGGAGACAAAGACGGTCTGGCTTGGTACTGGTCACCCACCACCCCCTCGTTTTCCATGCTGGCCTTTAATACGTTCTCACTAAAATAACTTGGCCCAATAGTCTGTTAAGCCTACATGGGAGGGAAGGGGGACTTTGTCTTTGTATTGTATATGGTGTTATCATTGTCTGTGTGGCAAGTATTGATTTGCAGCAATTATAACTATGGAGATAAACTTGAGTTCAGTTTAGGGGCATAGCTTTCTGATGAACATTTTGCACACGATAATTTAGCCATCCTTTATATGAAATTAAATCTCTAAAAACATAACGCCACGCATGTACTTTTAAAACATACACATATACACTTGCATACGATGACTATACTATAGAATGAAATGCTTACAGCAGATTCCATTGTAAGATTTACATTGCGAGGAAACCACTGACTACATATGTTCGCTGAAGGCCGGGCGAACATACTACGTTGAAGAATACGCAGGCAGGCACGTAGGCAGGCAGAGCGGCAAGAGAAGTATGTGTACACATCTCCTGATTTCAGGAAAAGATTGACATTTTAACCCCTATGGATGAAGCCTTAATGACCTGGATGGGGGGGGGGCGTTGCTGTCATAGTAATTATGTTAACACAATCTCAAAAAGCTAGTAAGGAAACATTTTATTTGGCAAAGGGCACGCCCAAACAAACCACCATTATAGGAATACTAACCAAGCCCGAAAACCCTACGACCATATACAGAACAAAATGTTCCCCCTTTAGATCAGATACTCCTGCAAAATAACTTAAAATATCTCATCAAGTCCCCTAAATCCTGTGGCCATATCTCATTACATGTCACCTTCCCCAATGACTTGACTGATCAACACCTCATTCATCGCATGACGAATAACAAACATTAGTCGTTTTCCAATGGCCTTTCACCAATCTAAATTCACCGGTACGTTCAATATTTACTTAAAAGATATATTCTTAGTCGTGCGGCGGAAAGAAGATAGCACTAAACTATATTTAAAAAAAATGTGCAACAAAGAGTATTAAAAATCTCTTACCCGTTTAACCACCTTCACATCATTTGCCCAAGGTTATCACACTTCTTAGCTTCACCTTTTGTGCAGCGGACCACGCATGCTTATTTATATACCCTCACCCTGCAAGTGAAAAAACGCTGCGTACTGGGATGCATGACACTTTGTCGTGACCCTGCCAAGTCGGTAAAATACATTTTGTTTTCATACACCGCTAATGGAATACCCGAGGGTTTCAGGCAAAGCACCACCGTGTTCACGAACTTGAAAAGACATCTAAAGCAAGGTGCAGCGGGCTCAGTGGCCGGGGCCAGGTGGAAGCAATGAAACGGGGGGGGGGGGGGGGGGGGGGGGGGGGGGGGGGGGGGTGTTCACGTAAACACGAGGCGTTGAAGGAACACTGAGAGAGGCACGAGGGCAGAGAAGGGGACGGGGGGTTGAAGGGCTCGCGGCACAGGCAGGTTGTGAGAGAGAGAAGTCGGTGAGCGAGGTCTACCTTGACGGCCCAAATGGACTGGTCCAGCGGGTGGAAGAGCTTGAAGCAGAAGCCGTCCTTTTTGGACGGCCGCTCGATGAGTTGGCACACGTTGAGCATCACCGTGCCCACCCAGTGCTCGTTCTTGGGGCTCTTGTATATGAGCAGCACGCCGGGTTTGAGCACGCACCACAGCTTGGTCCAGCTCTTCAACGTGCCACGGATCTGCAGCCAACAAGAGGGTGTGCCATTGCATCGCCCTTGAAATTGCCATGCGCAGGCTTGTCCACCGAAGGTGGACATCTATCCAGCTTGATGCTCCGTGCCATGATCGAGGATGCTACACATCATTTAGTACCGAACGTGTCGCTCTCGTGCAGTTGAAGTACCGATGGGTCAGTTGTTCTCCATCATTCACCGTCTCTTTGGTGCTGGTCCTGCATGCAATGGCTACTATGTTAAATGGATACACCCTGACCAAGATGTGTTGGGCTTTTTCCCAATGTTATTATAATTGCACTAGCAGAATTATGTCCTGAGGTGGCATATCCCTTCATACATTTTGCAGAACAGTGGATCACCCCAAATATTAGAAACTTCATTGCAGAATCATATTACTTGTAACTATTTCTGTAATTCCTTCAAGCGACCTTTTTAATCCATATACCCTACGGAAGAGATATAATCATTGCATGTAATTATTATTTTTCAAAACAAGAATTTATCCAAATTAAGTAAACAAAAATCATGTGATTGGTTCTTCTTGCAATAATTGGTAACTGGGCTAAGACAATCACACAATTGCACCTGAGCATTTCCTTCAATCACAGGTGGCTATCAGGATTCGTAACTAGGATCTCAGCAGCACCAGGCTCAGTGCTCTGACCTCTTAGCCATCCAGATGTTGAAGCAATGCGCCCTCTGTAGTAACAATACATTCAACATTGAAAATCAAGAGACCAAATTATACGAAAAGATAAGACAAATTAATTTGGTGTGAAATGTTATTTTGAGCAAAGCATTTTGAGCAAGCAAAGCTTTAAGGTGCTTCACGTTAATTCACTTAACTCTATACTTTCTATTGTTTTTCCAGCCATGCGTTGATATGGTTTCATAAAAACAACCAAACCCAGCAGTGAGATTTTATCTTCTATCGCGTGTGCACGCACACACACACTGGCATCAATTAGTTTGAAGAAATGCATCGCATCACGAAGTGCTTAGCATTCTCCAAAATACAGTATGGAAACTGTGCACATACTCGCAACAAAATGAGTGGATTAACTCGCTTAATTAGCAAAACACATTTAGTAATTTTCCATTCCAGTGTTAAATGTCGCATGTGATTATGAAACACGCATTGAGCCATAAAGTAAAGCGAAAGCATCATGTTTGCGACAGTCAAATGACATTACCGTTTTGAAAAAAATAACAATGAAGTATGCCTTTTTCAAGTCCCATTTCAACACAAATACCAAAGTGTTAACTAGTGCCAAAAGATGTATAAAATTACTTGATCATTTTGAAAATAATTTTGGCTCACGCAATCAATGAGGATGTGCAACTTATATATTGCATATCAGAATACAAGAGAAGATTTTAAATAGGAATTGATTCTTGAATGAAATTGTTACCCCAATCGTTGCAAGATTTTGCTCATCAGTTGAAAACAATTCGAACTGAATACTTTGTTTGTGGTAAAAAAAATTGGTGTCCTGACATCCTGTTTGCAGAAGGTGGGAAACCTGAACAAACCATGCCCAGCGTGACGTGGCTAATAATGCCCAAGATGTTAAAAGCGCTGCCCATCACCTCCTGTCCCGTGGCACATGCGGCGATATTTTTTTCCCAACTAAAATGGTGTTATCCACTTAGTTGAGCAAGTGAACCGATATTCGGTGGATTATTCGAGTGCTTAAATCATTGGTATATTCCAGCTCTACTTAAATGTGCCCAGTTGATACCCGTGCAATCAATCGTCCGAAATGAATCGTGGATGGCACCATTTTTAATGGACAAGAGAAGACCGGCACTAACAACGTAAAATGTTCGTCCATCATCAATGAATCATTTCAAATCGAGAAGCGTCCTTCGCCCCAAAAACCTTTAAAAATCTTTCAGCAATATTAATTTTAACCACTGGGACTAACCCACCTTGACACCTCAGTTCCTTCACAACACAGATAATTTATTTGGCACCGTGCCTCAGACAGTCTATTCAATTGCCAAAATAAAAAAAAAAAACACATATGGATGTTTCTTAGTAGCAACACCGGTTATTTGGGAACGTCGTTTTAATGCGCAGAATTTTGTCGGTGCTGTGTAATATGTGCCAATGTGCAGATGATCAGCAAGGCCTCAAAACAATACCCAATTTATAAAAAATATATATTTCAGGGTATTTGTCATGGACAAAGAAGATATCTTGCAAGATATCTTGCACGAGAAACATTCTGATTGTTCTTCTAAGCAGTGCTCCAACGATAACATTAATTAAAACATTTTCCGAATAATTTTATTTTCTAAGCAATCAGTGAATGACACTAATGAAAAATGATTGGTTAACGAAATAATCAGTGAATCACGCACCTTCAGCCAGTCTGCCATGATCACCACGGTGGGGTCCTTCAGGTTGCTAAGCAGCTCTTTAGTTGCCCTTTTCTTTTCCTGCTTGTAATTCTGTTTTTGAACCTGAAAATTGAGGTTTGTAAAATGTGACAACATAAGTCAAAATCAGCATTAGCCAATACAAAAAAAATCTATAACAATCAAAGATCTTTAACTTTCTTAACTTCTAATTAATTGAACATCGACTGCAGTTTTATTGTATTTTGCAAATAATTTGCTATTAAAGCGACAAAGGACCTGTGCAAAGGGTTGCATGTGGAGCCATTAAAATAAAATCCAAGGCAGCGCCCATGCATGTTAGGAACAAAGTGTTCATTATTTTGACGACATCAAATGTGTAGCCCACAAAAACTTCTGTATGAAGTTTTGCTACTTCAGAGTGTAATTCATCTGATGCATTTTCCAATTCCGTTGCCTTTTTAAAACCATGTGAAAATCCACGTATGATCCTTTACATGTTATGCACATCAGACTGTTCGTTACTTTCGTAGCCCCTATTTGAAAATTTTAGCAACATGGTATTTTTAGGTTTCTTGTACGTCATTTACACAAGTTTCAACTGTATATAATTATTCTACAGATATTACTATACAGCAACTGGTATTAAATAATCAAAATCATATATTTTTTACGCGACCGTGATTTGACCATTTAATATACGAGCAGAACTTATGGAAATTACGTGAGCTGAACATTATAAAACATTTGTGCTACGTAAGTTTATCCCTTTTCCAGATTTATAATGGGCTTTCCCAAGGAGTAGATAGGTGCAGACAAGGCGAGCTTGACAGAAATGTGCTTGATTTGCACAAATCAGACCCCGTGAGACTTGTGTAAACTTCACACGTGGTGACCCCCACAGACCCAGCGATGCTAGATTTAGAGCCAAGTGTTCAAAATCACAAGTGGAGAGAGGGGTTGAATATCCCAATGGAAGGCCGAATGATATGTCAGAACAATGGAGATGTGCGGGATGGCTTATCCTACCTAGATTATCCAAGGCACTTTACAGCGATGATTGAAAAAAAAAAGTCATGTTGATAATCGCTGTGGATTTTTCTCCAGCGAATCTCTGGACCTTTGATAAATTGATTAAAGTTTGGATGGTATTTAGTCGTACACTAAAGTGCCCCGAGTCTTAGTGCATGCACACACTTGGCTTTCTGCTTCAAGCTTCTTGAGACAATCCCTTCCCAAGCACCACCACCGCGCGGCACTATTGCGCACTAGAATATCCCCTTTGCTGCTATTATGTAAGATTTGTATTTTTAAATCATGGTTTTGTAAAAAAAAACTACCCGATCAAGCGATGTTAATGTCTGGATGTCACAAACAGATGTCAAGAATTTTCATTCCATATAAACCTTTTATTTGTAGATGTGTGGAAAAGGAAAGAAGAGCACAGGACAATCAAAGAACGGAATAAGTATCTTCTTGCAGGATAAATTAACAAGCAAAAAGTGTACCTTAAGAGATTCCTTTTTGGTAAGTTTGACTGTTGGGGTTGACGTCTCATTGCCATTGTATAAGCCGCTTTCCGACTAGAAGCGGAGTGGGGAGAAAAAAAGAAAATAAATGCGCAAACGTACATCGAGTACTCTCAAACGTTACAACGCACCGTAAATTATATAATCATCATTCCACGCATATATTATACAGTGTGCGAAATTGGAAGAGATCAGATAAAACATTTTGTCATTACAGATACACAGGGAAAAAAAATCGTGACCGAAAACGCGTGCACGATTTTAATATCGAACGATCGTTCTCACTTTGCTCTTTGTGACCGTGAAGGAGTCGTCCCTGGAAATGTCCGACTCCTCCTTCTCCCTCTCACTCCCTGGTAACGGTGAGACACAAATGAAAGTCAGTTCACAGTTCATAAGCGGCACGAGAAAAAAAGAGTGCGGAAACAGTTAATCCTGACATAAAAACTTAAGGCAACACGCAGGGCACAAGCAACTGTTGAGAAGCAGTGATTGATTTATTGGCACAAGCACAAGCTACATGGTATGAATCATTTAGTGACGTGTACATTTTAGTTGTGGATATTACATTTTAAATTAATTTGAAAGGAAAAAAGTGTTGACTCATGGTCTCAGAGAAGACAAAAAAGTGCATCGATTATGGTAAATACCCAAACATTATTGTCAATATAAATTACCATGTATATTCAAGCCAACATTTCAATTTAATAAGATAACTGCTTTTCTTTTACCAATCAATACTTACACAACATTGAGAACACGGAGTTATTAATCAATAAATACCCAGATACGCAAAACACAATACAAACTACAATCCACAGCATCAACAACAAAAAACACAAATTAATAATTCTGATCCAATACTCAATCACTGCAGTGCATCTTTGAAAGGTGTGCGATCAATTTAGTATAATCGCACAGCCTGTAGGTACTGTACATATGTGGAACATGAATACCCGTTCAACAGAATAGGTGGCGATTGGAAAAGTAGAATTCAAACTTTCACCTGAGATTAGTGTTTCATTTTAAATTGTGCCGTTTTTAAACATGGCAGGAAGGACACTCAATAAATCCTGCTCAAAAGGTGCCATTTAAGCAACTGCCACAGCTAAGCCTGTCCTAGAACACGTCTGTACCAAAATTCTGTGAACAGTAACACGGATGAACCATTTGCATTTTTTCCACTGCCATTTCACAATTTGACTGAAGCGTCCCATTACAACTAAGCGCTGTGATATTACCATCAAAATATACATGATAAAGGAATTATCTTATACTCTATAAACACATCCATATCGGACTACAGTAATGAGTACAGCTAATCTATTGGCTCAATGTCATGAGGGATGACCTTTTAGGCTAAAGCCTGAGCATTAATATCATAATGTATAATAACGGAGTATGTTTCCTTGATTTTCTTTCAAATAAAAAATGTCAAAACAGCAAAATGGGTAAAAAAAAACGGAATAGTCAATGTTCGGACCACGAGGTCACCATTCTGCATGAACAATGGCTCCTCATTCATCAGTGATTAGTGACCAATGCCTCTGGGCTAAAACATTGACTGTATGTTTGTTTTTTTCTTTATAGAATTAATGCAATCGATTTTCCTGTAAATGCTGACACAGCAATACGAAGTAAAAACATTTTTAAGGTCCGGATAAACGCAGTTCAAGAACCGTGCGGCTCGGATGAATTAGACTAATGAGTGTGATTAAAGTGAGATCATATTTTACACACAGATCAATATCTTAATAAAAGGTCCCCCCCTCTGCGTAATGAACTTGGAAGGGAGATAAATAATAAATTGAATACTCATTTCCATTTTAATTTTCTGCAAATGGAATAAGAACATTCGGTTCTAGAAGAGTATCTACGCGAAACAAATGAACCTCGTGAAACTGTGTATTGCACAAGAAAATACATGCACTCATCGCGCTTATGACAATGAAACATTTTCACCGAGTAAATTAAAGCATGTGCAATGCAAATTCTGAGCATACAAAACTGGCTTCATTTAATTGCAAAAATAACAGTTCCTTTAAGTTCATCTGAGAATTAAGTTACATTTAAATGCACGGAGCATATTAAACAGCCTCCATTACGTGCACGCCAATTTTGCCAAAAAGGTGGCCTGGAAACCACTCTCATCGTATTCATGAAAACCCCCAGCAGCAACGCAGGCAAGTACTACTGTGCAATCCACAACTGCAATTGTGACAGTGAAAGTCGGTCACAGTTATTGCAATTTTCATGATTTTGTTAATCCACTACTAGATGGCAGCTTCCCACACACCATGTCCGTCAAGGGGGTTGTGTGACCGTACTTCACCATCCTAGCCAGTTTTTTAAAGGGGTCACCCAAGACCAGTTCATATATCACTCACCACTGATGTTAGCCGTGGTCGGGATACAAATTCAGGTTTCCGGGTTCAGAGCACCACGTGCTAAACATTGCATCAGCACTCTCGAATAACAATAATTATGGTTGTACTTCAAATGATGCATGCTGCTCCATTTAACACCCATGAATATAAAAAGGAAAATGTAATTATCTGATTTGTGACATCATTGCATGGTGGTGTTTCGTAATTATTTAATTCAGGTATTGCTGCCATTAATTGGTGCTTATGCAAATTTAATCCAAATGTTGTTCTGTGAGCATCATCACTGCTCACATTGTGCTACAAATGTAATGCTGGCTATTCTCTGCTTAAACCCATTTAGACATTCAATGGAGGAGTTGGTCTCCGGCACGCATGCCCAATTGACGTTGACTGCCCACAGGAAGTAGTGAACAGCCATTTGTGTCCACCACTGTGACTGCGATAACGGACGAGATAGAAAATTCCTCATGTCTCACAAATATGAGTGTAGTCTTGCTGAAGCAACACATTTTTTTTCATGTTTACGGCAGCCAATGTCTGCCCTGATGAGCCACGGCAGTGCAAGGCCATCACGGCATAATGGATTCCCAACTATACCGGCAATCTGGGTAATTAACGAGCCGAGCCATTACGAAACCGGTAAATTTCTAGGCTCACGAAACACCTGAATCTGGCTTAAGGCCAAGAAGGCCAGCAACGAGGGAAATTATTTTGATACGACGAAAGAGATGTGACGTCAGCAGCAAGTTTTGGATTGTGCGGCGGAAAAACAACAACAACCCGACATCTGCTGAGCAGCACCAGGCTGTGCCCGAGCCCACGGCTCTGTTGCACAGCGGAAGGGAGGAAAGGGAAGCGGTTGGGAATGTGGGCGAACGTGCAGCTTAGAGCGAATGTCGTGGCAAAAAGATGTAATCACGTCCGAGCGCGCGGTGCATGCACACACACCTGGGCAGAGCCACACATGGTGGAACCCCTCGAAGGAGGCCAGCCGGCTGGTTCGATGGCGCTTACTCAGAGGTAGCGCGGTGGCCGAGGAGGGTAGGGGCGGCGGGAAGGAAGCCCTGGCGTGCAGAGACATCCTGGACCCGCCACTCGTCTCCTCCCGCATGCTAGCAGCACTCCGTGCCGCTAAGAGATATGTGTCCGTGGCGGGCAGAGGCAGTTAACCAACGTGGCTTGCCGCGCCAAATGAAAACTCGCGCGTGTCTCACGATGTACTCGTGTCCAGTAACTCACGCCCGCCTTAGAACTGACCCGCGTTCAGAAGGTTGCACACATCCGTAAACGTACACGCATGCCATACATGCATGACTGCCAATCAAACAGCTGGAGAAGACTTAAAATATGTACTTCTTGACTGCTTGCTTACATTTGAGTGCATAGTCGAATGTATGAAAATATCCATTTTTTTATAAAATAATGTAGAACTGTACTCAGATTCTTTAAGTCATGTAACCGTGACAGACTTTACTATACTAACTATATACATAGATGATAGTACGTGGAATGGGGTAGATTGTCCATATAAGTCACTTCGATGTCAACAGTTGTAAATCAACATAAATGTTCACTGCTAAGAATGGCAAAATGTGATTTTCATTGCAAACATATTCTTGTGTATTTTCTGAAATGGCAACACTTAACATGGCTTTGAGAAGATTTATGTTAAGTATAAACAAAACTTCATATTATCATGTTATGTTATCCTAAATTTTACAGGCTATAGCCTACTTATGTACTGCCATGGCATTACTTGACTAAATAGAGAATTAAAATCAAAGTACATTTTTCCATTACATATTATAACTACCAAACACTTAATGCATTTTTAATTCATAATTCAGTACAACAATGTATGACCGCAAATAAAACTACGGTAATTTATTTAAGAGAATACTTAAGAAAAAACTGCCTTGTATGTCTGAAAAAGTCACAAAATTACAACTTACCACTACAATACAAAGAGCAACACTGTGCCGTGTCACATTTCTATTGTGACGGCTTCTGCTAGCGAGAGAATTCACCTGGGTGTTTCGATGTTTGCCGGTGGAAAAATATGAGGGCAATGTTTTGAAAACTCCATTCTGTTAAAATGCTCTCTGTTCAACCAGGAAGCTCAATGGCTTCCATGCACTGACAAACAAACCCAGCTTTGCCGCTTTTGTCTGCCCCATGGACATTGTTTGACTGCACTGTTAGAGAAGGAAATGTACTGGCACACAACCTAACGATGCAACCGTGTGGTGCAGAAGGTCACGGGGCGGATGTCCGCACAGTCCCTCGTTAACAATTGAGGCCGAATGATTGTCCCGAACAATCCAAGGCTCTATTTTATCTCTGTCTCAAATGTCCCACAGCCAAGGACTCTGAAGCGCTTTAAAATGTATTTCCAATTCAAACCTAAACTCCCCCGATTCCCACATACTGGCTTTCCGTGCGATGTGTATACATGCATTTGCACACTCATTTGGTTGATGGCAATAAAGACTTGTGAACCCGTTTGAAAAAAAAATGCACCACCATTACACAGGGTTCATTTGAATTTTTCAATCCACGAATTATTTATATGACTAAAGTAAAATGTGCATTGACATTATCGACTGAAAGATTGAAATGCTTTAAATACGATAATGTTTTGAAAACTCCTGAACCACTCCCAATTTAATCCACTGAAACTGTCCGTAATTATTTTTGGATATTTATTTTGCTTACTGCAAATTATGTAAAGTACCCTGGCATTATCTGTGCACAAGTTAATCAGACACTTTATAATAAAGTGTTGATAAGTCAAAGGCAGGCCAGGCCCGAGGCATTCCACTCCAGCTTCATGATGGAATATATGGCTCCCAAAAGAGGCGATGGCATTAACTTGCCATCCAATACCATTTATTTTCGCTCTTAATAAAATATAATGAATATTATAATTATGCCCATATAGGAGGTACTATATTGCTGCATGTGGAATGTTTACATAGGAGGACCTTTGCACTACATCCATGAATCAATGATGAAATAAAGAAGTGGACAACAGCAGGATAGAGGGCTTTGGACAACTGAACTTGATAACGAAAAGTTAAATACCAACGTGCATAATGGAGATAATGTTTAATCAGTGCATATTACATGCTATCAACTGTGGAGCAGAAACGCTGACAATGACAGAGAAAACAGAGCAAAAGCTGAAAAGTGTGCAAAGAAGCAAAGAGGTAGATGTTCTGAAAGACAAAGAGGTACGTGTGTTACAAAACATGTACATGCTAGAGACATCGTATTGACCGATTATAAAGTAATTAGAGGCAGGACGACATCATCCGATGATGTCCATTGAAGCTATTGATGAAGTGGCAGCCAAAGGAGTGAACACACCCAGGAGGATGTCTACATCAGAAATGTGCTGATGGAATCGGCTCATTTGCAGTTGCTTAACGACTAAACCACAGGGCCATGAGAGACAGTGATAGCTTGGGGAGCGGCTCTAATCCCACAGTGGATAAAGCATGGTTAACAGTGATGATAAGGATATGAATGGAGGAAATGTTCTTCATGTGTCTACGGTAGCAGTACATGCTGGCTCTCTCTTGCGAAGGGAGCAGAGGGATCTCTCACGTGTGCAAAGAAACGTACTTAACTCTCCCCCTTTGAGGTACTGAGGCTCATTAATAATGTACCAGCCAAAAAACCCTCAGGGGCCCAATATGTGCAAGCCAATGGTCCAATCCAAGCCTCGAGAGATCACAGCGGCATACAAAAGCTGCCTGTGTGTTTGCGTAGAGGTGCATATGTGCACGCGTGTACGTGTCCGGGGGGAGTTAGCCGGAGAGATGGTACTCTAGTCTGTGCATTCTGTCACATCCCCAGCCACCGGGGCTCACTTGCAGGAAATGGACACGACAGGTTATTCAGATTCCTTATGCCGTATGGAGCAAATGGGTCGAAAAATGGGTGCCGGTTGAGATTTCTTTGTATTAATAATTGATTTTCTCTGCGGGGACAAAACAAAGGAGGTTGGCATTGTTTTGATTTAAAGCTTTCGTGTTGTTTCTCTTCAACGTGACTTTACCGAAAAAACTAAGAATATGTTGGCATTGTTGTTTATAGTATTGATATACCAACTGATAAACTAACAAGGAGGTGAACGCTGACTAGGTGCATGTTCACTTCATATAAAAACCAAACCCTCAAGAAAACTGCACATACTGTTGTCCTTCCCCCACACCTCCGATTAGCGTGGTTAGCTACATAAGGCGCGAACATTTTTTTAACATACATACATGAAAGGATATCTATATTTGCAGCTATGATCAACGGCCTGTTATGTATAGTTAGTTTCTTATACAGTACCTTTTGCCCATTCTTGCTTAATTTTACAGAAAATAAATCTTGAGCCACGAATGCTCTTGCACCACTGCCAACACCGTTTCTAGGCACATAAGCACAGGATAAGTGATTGGCCAATTAAAAAGATCACACGTAAAGAATGGGTATCAGCGTTGACGCCATTGTAATGCATTACCATATTCATTCACATGCCTAACTCGTTCCAATTTGGACCTTTCTGATGGCTCACCCTACTTCCGTAACACAATACGGTTAAATATAGATCAGCCAGCGCCAATCTTTCAAACATTCCGTAATGCAATAAAAGCTGGAGTTAATTGCTGAAATGTTAATATAAGTTTTGAATTATTGTTAATTAAAAGTTTTTATGACATTAGACGACGCTGAATATTTGAAGCCAATTCATGGCACACAATGAAGACCAACACAAGGTTTAATTTAATAGTTAGGGCCAAAATGTATGCAAGGTGAAACAGCACATGAAAGACTTTAGTTATATTTCGATTTAAAGCTTTCGTGACTGCAGGAATTCATATTCTTGGTTCTTTCGGTAAAGTCACGTAGAAGGGAAATAACAGCTCTGTTTGTTCACCTGAGGCCGGCTGCTTGCGTTGTGGCCGAAACGTCGTGAGAATTTAATTTTATTATGTAAAGTTTGTATTATTTTATTATTTCCCTTCTACATGACTTTAGTTATATTGTGCAAAATGGTAAAAAATATGGCCCGTGGTTATTCCTATATAAACTGCAATCTGCATATGAATCACCTTGCACATGTGTCCCATCAGCTCTCAGAAGCTTAGCACGGCTGAACATGGACGGAACTGAGATCGGTGACCACCATGAACAATAAGGTTGTCAGAATTGTGGGGCTACATTGTGGGCAACAGAGGGCAGTGCAACAAAATACATTGTTGCATTGTGCTTCTATTCTCCCAAGTACAGTACATGTTTCCAACCTTCAGCAACCTATATTGAGAAGCATGGTGAATTATGGTCCAATAACCATCGCGGACCTGCATGGCGTGGGAAGGCCTTCATCCAGCAGTAGATTAACACAACTCCTGTACATGCACATTCGTACATGAAAAACTAATCTGGATGCATGTCTGCACAGCAAAGTCCTCCTAAACCGCTTCAACAATTTCAATGAACGATGAGTCATTTGGAAGCTTATGATGCATAGATTTTGCAAACGAGGTCAAAATTACAAATAAAATGGACCCTTTTACCTGATTATGCAGGTTATCGGCCCCAGCGCTGCTTATCCGCGAAATAATTTTACATTGCAGCGAATGCACTGAGCCCCATAGCCTCATTTCAAAATCATGCAACTGGTAGGCATGTGCCTTCAGGGAGGAGTGTTTTGCATGGGTGGGGGCAGCCAGCCGTCACCCGTGTCATATAAATTGGTGAATCGTGAGGGTCATTTAGAGTTGATGACTGGTGAGTGGTGAAAGTCACATGAGTTGGTGAGGCTCAGGTGAGTCGATGACTGGTGACTGGTGGAAATTATGTGGTTAGGGTCGGGAGAGTAGTGAACATTTCAAACGGGTCAGGGAAGTGTAATTCGAGTGTGATGTCACCGTCAGTAGGATAGGCTGCCCACTAGTTATTTATATGTACGGAAAATAAAAAAAGTGCTTAGCTTGAGAAAAATAGGCAGAGTGCAGCTAAGTCAACATGTGACAGTTTTGGCACACTGAAGGAACATACTTGTAGTCAAATCTCATCACTGCATTACATAGAACATGCAAATAAACAGGAATCGCGATTCATATCTTATAACC